ACAAGTTATAAATAAATTGAGAAAATAAGGAGTACACACGGAGAGAGAACCCGAAAAGTATTTGAATTAATTAAATCCCCAGCGTACACGACAGCGATCCACCTTCTTCTTGGTGTGACAACATTTTTTCCTCATGTCTCCCCACTTGAGATATGCTGCATCTTGAGCGAGTAGCTGCTGTTCTATACACAACAATCTACACAACATTCACGACACATTGTCCATTTGGCCATTGCGAGTAAAGTGGACACGGTGTTGAGGACGCAGCAACACTGTTTCGTTCGCGCAGAGGAAAAACGTGAAGGACTGAAAAATGTATTCAATTCCAAGTATCAAAGAGACGTGTTTAATAGTGTTTCTGGTTAATTGGCCACAACATACACTTCATCAAAAAGGATGGAGAGCAAAAAGAGCTGCGCGATTCCTCAAGCCATGGCCAAATTATGTTTGTTCTGGTTATATGCCAAGAAGATTAAGTTGCTGATATTGATAAATCCACAAATATTCACGTTCAATTTGATCTTGAAGGTAGAATGTCGCTGACAATCATCGGAGTTCTTTGGGACAACATCATGTTGGTCTCAAATAAAGATTTATGCAATTAAGAGGCTGAATTTGGCACACTTTGGAAGGTGGTACGACTTGTCATGTGGCAATCGTAAGATATTCAATAGACAGTCTCAAGAAAATCTTAAGAACATCCTCGAATTACAGCATATCTCTGTTTATTAGCTTGAGTCGCATTGTATATTCTGTGTAAATCGTATGAACACTGCGTATTCCAGGAAAGTATGGCAGTGATGCATAATTTCCTTTAAGTTATATACTTCGGGTGAGCAACACACATTAACTATTTTCTCTAATTTCCTTATCGATAACTCTAATTTTCGTGTTTGATCACAGAAATGAACTTTAAATGATATTCCAATCTACAATTGACCACCAAAAAACCTCACATAACAGCTTGTAAAGCCTCTGAAATCCCACTGTACGAATTAATGCGGGAGGAAGTGAGGAATCCAGAAGGAATACTGATTAGTCGTATCGCCATCATGCGAGCTATCAACACTCATAATGTCAATATTCATTGCAAAATGTTATTATTTATTTAATGTCTTTTTTCCGCCTCTGTATTTGTCCCCCACTTGTGCAGGGCATTAATAAAATGTACACACATTCGCTGGTGCACACAGGCAAGTGCACATGGACAGGTTGGGCGAATAAATTCAGCAAAGACTTTTACATATGTCGGCGTTTTGGCAAAAACAATTACACACGACCGATTGTGAATATTAAAATTGGCGGTTAAATGCATAGAGAGAAAAGGCGTCGTGCGGAAAAAATTAATGCAAGACAATTTCCTTCTGGTGGTGCACATCAAAGGCAGATTCTTTTGGGGCCGAAGAGCAAATAACGTGAAGAGTTGCGCGTGAGAAAATACTAAGCATTTCGCCAATGGTTCGCGAGTCAGACGAAAATCAATTAAGCGTCAATTAATTTAGCAGGTGCCAATAAATTGTACTGACTTGATGTCTGGATGTGTTTTCACAAGTCGACGCGTTCCAGGAACTAATATATCTTATCTTGCGCACTCTCAAATATCAGCGAGAGTCGTAAAACATAAATTATATTTAAAATTCAACTCAGATTTGCACATTTTTTCTCCGCGCGACTCGCGCAATGAAACTTCGCGAGTGGAGCGAAATCTTCTCCTGGGTGACGCGGAGGAACTTCTCATCTCACTGGAGAGTCTGATCCACTAACCAATGACTGAATTGGGTGGCACAGAGCGAGAGGAGCAGAAGAAAAATTTCGTTATGCCTTCCAAGAATTCATGGGCGACGACACAAAAGGAATATATAATTGGACCAAAACAACAAAGCCAAGAGACTATTTGGTGAACGCATATCTCACACTGAGTGAGAATGTCCTTTGAATGCTAATAGGCGTCTTTCCTGGGTGGTTTCCTCGTGTGCAGACGCAACAATGTCAAATCAATATGCAAATGGACAACTTCTGCCAATGGAGCAATTCTTCATTTGAAGCTGCTGCGCCTCGAGGGCAAAATGACCGGTTTTCCATGTGAAAATCATACACACAATTTCAGGTTCGTCGCTTTTCCACGTTGAAATCTTTCGTGCACAGACGAGATAACCAATCGCAATCTCGATGCGGGACTAGAGCTTAATATCCGGGACCCTCCGCACAGATTTCCGATCATCACAAATGCATTAGATGTATTTAAAAACACATGAAAATTCCTGCCAGTGGCTTTGAATACCAAATAGGACATTCTTCTCTCGCCCAGAGACACTTTTACAGACTTAGGCAATCAAGCCACAGTGCCTGAGATCATAATTCAATTTCAACAATTGTCCACTGACAAATTTCTACTACAACCGCGGAATCATCAATTGCCACTTAGCATATGAGCATTTCAAATAATTGTGCACTTCTTACAATTTCGAACTACTGTCTTACGCGGCGTGTGACGAACGAAATCCTGGAGGAATAATAAACACCGTGAAAATCCTGGGTGATCAACATGAACACTGACACTCATAGTGTAGCAAGAATATTTGTGATAACAGACCAGCCTCAAGGGGGAGATAATATAAGCAGAAGTGGTGTACAGTTTAGTGGAAGTGTTCAAAATTAACAATATTCCTTTAAATCCTTCTTTCACAGACGAATCATCCCAGTTCTTAGGATTGCTTCTTATTCTTGCGTAGAAACAATCACAATAATCCTTTTCTAGGTTATGTAACGAATCAAGGACAGATTTAGCGAATAATTCGCAGTCAAGCACATCAATTCATGTGCTAATGTTGGAGAGATCGCTATTCATTGGTAGAATTAAACGTTTTCATGGAATAAACATTGCTATTCTGAAGCTTTGATGCCAAGAAACACTGCAAATTATGCTAAGTTCGATCATAACCTCAAAAATGGTAATTTTGACTTAGAAAATGTTCATTTAGAAAACTTTCTCCACCATTTTGACTCTGAATCAGCAATTTCGAGTTGATTGGCAAATCACAAGAGATGATTTTGTGATCTAGAAAGCTTCCAAACAGGAGTCTTTAAAGATCTATTAGTGAAATTTTTAGGTTATGGTTCAAAAAGATGACCAAAAAAACGATTTTGAGTCGATTCTGACGAAAATATCGAATGGATACTTAATAGATTCGGAATTGTTAAGAAATGATGTACAGATTTAAGGCATATTATCTTCCCCTTGAGCGGCGCACATAAAATGATCAACATTTTTATGACACATAGAATTACGAGAGAGTTAAATTCCTAAAATTGTGCTTTATTGTCTTTTGTGTGCGGTTTTGGCTGAAAGAATACAGAAGAAAAAACCACCGCAAATCCTCTCGCTCTACGTGGACGTATTTTGATGTTTTTCCACAATTTTCACTTCTTGCGCTGCAGTGCAAGAGTTCATTCCGGGCGGAAGATATGACTTATTGTGACCGTCACGTGGCTGATGAAGTTACAACCGCTTCGGGAGTGATTTATTTCATGGGTAAGAGCCATTCATTGATATTTCGCTGTGGCGCGATAAAGGAAGACCAGCAGAGATTCAATCGCACACCTTAAATCCACACTTTTGATTCAATTTGAGAAGCTCATCTCGCCCATGAGTCTCACAATCGACACATCAGACAGCCAATTAAATCTCTAAATGTGCCTCCTCACCCCAAAGTAATTTGGCCATACTTTCTGCCCATCACACCTCGCGCATCGCCGCGATCATCAGGCAACAATACATCATCTCATCCATTTAGCCCTCATGTCACTACCAGCGGTGATTGATTGATGATCGATGATTGCCAGAAAAGTGGATCATTTGCATCGTAATAGCTAGAACGAAACGCTATTACTGGCCGAAAAGGCCTCGCCAGAATCATGCCCGACTGACACTTTACAAGACTATCCGGTGTGAATTATTAATTGTGCCCCATTTTTTCCACCCCCCATAAATATTTGTTATTCCGCATATGGAGAAGGAAATGATTGGCGAGAAGCGCACTATCGGACGCCTTAACAGTCTCTAAGATCAATCTTCAAATAGGTGTGAATTTCTGTCTTATTTACTCTCGTGCGCTTTTTCGGGAGGGAAAGGAGGAAAGTCCGTTAAAAAAAGGCATTTATGATTAATTATTTGGCTGAAATTTTAACGATACCACCAATAGTTGTTGGCAGATGATTAATAGTATCTCAGAGTAAATAATTACTGTATATTCCATTTCATTCAAAATACAGTTTCGATCTAAAGCTCAGGTAGACCATATCTCGACTGCGCGCGTAAACACAAAATCGCCACTCAAAATTCCAGCTGCCAAGCACAAAAATGCTCCATCCGCAATAGAATGATGCGATAATCGATCGATAGCATTTCATCGGCCAGAAATAAGAGAATTAAGGTTAAGAGAATTGATTAATCCGATCAGAAGAATCTGATAAAGATATCTGAGAATTCAAGACCTATTGAAAATACAACCAGGATTCATTTGAGATTCTTTTAATAGTCTTAATTAAGCACAATTGAGAAGAAAATCCTTTGAACTAAATAGAGAAAGTCCTGACTAGACAGTGTGATTTAACGAGCAACAGCAGAATCTTCAAGGTGAATTATGAGAGAAATTTATGACTTTTATCATGAGAATCTGTGAGCTAATTGACACGAAATCATCTGAAAATCGTCAAAAGAAGGCAATAAATCAGGTGAAGAAAATCTTGGATACAAAAGCATCAAAATTGAGCAGAATAAGGTGATATTTTCTCATTAAATTCAGTTGAAACTCAAAATTTCTATCAAGGATTCAATTTTCCAAGGGATATTCGAAAACGCAACTTATTGTTTGTCTTTCCTCAAAGCCGAAGTGAAAGAAAAACAATAAGCGAATCACCGAAATTTGCCAAATCGATTGTCTGTCATAATTTGCCAAAAGGAGAAAATCAAGCAATGAATTCAAAGCACAAAATCAGTGTTCGTTTAAAAAGTTTTATTTCTGTCAATCTATTTTAATGCCTTTCATATTATCTTGCACATAGTTGTAAGTTGAAAATTTTGGTTTACTTTCCTTTAATAGTTTATATATGCTATATAATATTTATAGGTTTTTTTTTCTTGCTTTTATTCATGCCCAATAACAAACATTGTAATAATAGTTGTAATTTTCAATAAGAGGAAAGCCACAAAGTCTATGTATCGCCTTATTAACACTTTCTATAAAAACTCACACGAACTTCTCTGTGCAAAGTGTGAATTGGTTCTTCTAATCACAATTCAGGAGAAAAGAAAACTTCGCGCTCACATTTTTTTGTTGCTGTTTTCATGTCACCCACAAGATAATGAAGATCTTGCGCTCACTCTCACGTCGCTCTATAGAAAATGTTAATTACAATTCATATCATTTCACAATTTATCCACATAATCACCTATATAAACAAGATTACTTTCATATACAAAAAGAATTAATCTTGCGCTTGCATGTAAGATATCTTTATCTATTTTCATATTCGTTCTTAATCTATCCTTTTCATACTTCTTCTTCTTTTTCATTTGAGTTTGTAAAATAATGGTAAGTTTTCCATCTCCTGTTCACACTTTTCTCCTCCGTTCTCAACTTCTTTTGCATGTATTTACATTCTCTCTCTCTATAAACTTCAGTTGATGCTTACAAAGTAACAATTAAATAAAAAAAAATCCTATTATCTCGAGAGTTTTTTGTGGAAAGCAATGCGTTATCGCTAGAATTTTCTCCAATACCGTTTTTCCAAATCACCAGTCTTTAATAGAATTTTATCAAATCTGTCACTTCAACACTTCCGCTGAAATCTTCTGCCAGTGACTGAAAAAGTGTGAAAAATGTTCAACTGAGGAAGAATTGCATTCAATATAGTAATGTTTGTGTAAAGCAAGAAGAACATTTTTGTGCTGCTTCAATTAAAAAACAAATCATTTACGTCCTCACGCTAATCGCTGTAAAGTCGATATCACTACAAAAATATGGGCATTTGGGTTACAAATTAAGATCAACAACTAAATTGGAATAAAAACATAAATATAGATTCTGCACAAAAAATCTCTCAAAGTTCCCACGTGATCGTTTTTTTTTTCTCTCCTTCAACACCTCAAATGGAATCGCCTTGAATATTCTTCTAGACGTTTTATTCTGTGAAAATATTCCACTTCACCTCTGACTCTTCACCACTTTCTTCTCTCTAACCCTCTTTGCACGCCGCGAGATCCTTCCTCTCATTTCAAAATTATTCACTACACACACTATCGCCTAACGGCTTTGACTTTTCGAATGGGCGATGAGCCATTGCAGAGTTATATCGATATTATCCTTCTCTTTGCACGAAATACTATAGCAGCAGATCTCTCGGTCCTGGATGGTGGCCAAATTCCTGCAAGAGAACAGCGAAAGGATTACCACAATTGCTGAACACACTTCAATTAATGCTTTTTCGCAGTTCTGTTTAGAAACTGCTTTTTTCAACCCTTAATTGATCAGTGAAATCATTAAATGATGGAACTATATTCGTTCTAATGTGCAAAAAACCTAGTCAAAGTCAAAATTATCATTTTTAAATTAACGCAAACTAGTTTAGGATATGAAATCGCTTCGTAATTTGCATAATTTTCCCTCAAACTCGTTCTTATCATCCATTAAATTCATAATATTGCTCAGTTCTCTCAATTGTAATTATTTTCTCACTTACACTGTGCAACACTTTTCTGCCCTTTTTTTGAGGTGTGGATTTTCTGATTCCTTGAGTCACCAGCTTTTCAACGGTACCTTCCTTTTTTCTCTAGACCCTCAAGTTTTCCTTTTAGAGCCTATTTTCCATTTTCCACTATTTTCACCCACTTTGCCGCACTTATGTGCTCATATCTCGCCCAATTTTCCACGGATTTTCCTCAAATTAGGCTCAAATGATAGCTATTGAAATTACCTACTACTTTGTAAAACATTGTGAGTGTTTTAGATCACTCCTTGTTGGTCAAAAATGATCTTTTGTGAACCACTAGGTAAAAAATTCACCGGGTTTTTTACCACTTTTTTCTAAATATCTCCGAAACGAAGAAACTTTTATGTTGGATTATTTTTCCTATGTGTAGAGCACTTCAGGGGATGCATTTCCTCCATACATGCCGAAGTGATATTTCTTCTCTATCTGCCGGAAAAACGAGGTTTTTCCTCGACAAATTTCGCTTTTTTATGCTACGCGCACCCGCTAAAAAACTGAAAGAAGGTACATTTTGCTGTATACGCATTCATTTAGATAATGATAATGCTTAGATGTTAAAATAAAAGAGAAAAAAGGCCAATATCTCGACTTTTTAGCTATTTTACGTGAATTTTTTGTGTTTTTTATAGACTTGTTGTCAATAAAACCAGGAGTGATCTAAAACACTCACAATGTTCTACAAAGTAGTAGGTAATTTCAATAGCTATCATTTGAGCCTAATTTGAGGAAAATCCGTGGAAAATTGGGCGAGATATGAGCACATAAGTGCGGCAAAGTGGGTGAAAATAGTGGAAAATGGAAAATAGGCTCTAAAAGGAAAACTTGAGGGTCTAGAGAAAAAAGGAAGGTACCGTTGAAAAGCTGGTGACTCAAGGAATCAGAAAATCCACACCTCAAAAAAAGGGCAGAAAAAAGTGTCATTTTTGTTGCCTAGTGTTATTGAAACGATTACTATTAATTTAATTAATTTTCTGTGCATTTTGTTTCGCATTGTTAAAATTAATGCGTGTAATTTTATTTCAGAATTCTCTTGTCAAGAAAACATTGGATTTTTCAAGAAATTGCCAGAAACATGCTTAATATTTTAACATTTTCACGAAATTTGAAAGTTGGAATTCAATCTGGCGAGCCAAATTCTTCTTCAGATCAATTTTTTCTGAGAATAATGATTAAAATATGACCTTTTATATACAGAATTTAACACAAAATTCTGTTTAAGCGTGTATAAGTTAAAAAGTGCCGAAAGAATATCCATTTAGAACCAACATTCTCCTTCAATTCCATCAAAAGTCGACTTTCGGTCACACGCGGTCTTTTTAAGATAAATGAGATTTATCACGTTTTTTTGCTGATTTGCCGCATTAAGTTCTAACCAAAAAATCAATAAGACGTAAAGTATGAAAAGTCTTCGCGACACCCGTCGAATTAAAGATACTTTGCAGAGGGTGAAAAAAATCAATGAAATTGCACATAAACGGGAAAATCGGGATGACAAAAGTCTATCTTCAGCTCTGAATTCAGTCCCCGTGGCGAATTAGGGACGCATTTCCTGTCCACTCACATTCTGTCAATCAGTCCAGGCTCGTCCAGGGCGCCGGGAATGTCGCGCTTGTTGCCCAGCACCAGCACCGGGATGCCCGTGAGCTGCGGCTTGTCCAGCAGCGAGTGCAGCTCGTTCCGGGAGGCTTCCATCTTGTCCAGGTCCGCGGCGTCCACCATGTAACTGCAAAGGCGAGCGCATGAGCCCCTTTTCCTCTGACCCTCTCACGCAATGCGATACTCACACGATGGCGTTCACTCCGCGACAGTAGCGCTCCCACATGGAGCGGAACCTGGGCTGGCCGCCGATGTCCCACACCTTGATCGTCACGTTGCCCTTCGTGATCTTGCGCATGTTGAAGCCCACCGTGGGAATCATGTCCTCGCTGAACTGCCCGGACTGCAAAGGGAGACAAGAGGTGTGCGTGAATCACTGCCGAGACGCGTCAGCTGTTGCGATATCTCTGTGTGCTCTCCGGAGCCGCGCTATCAGCGCCAGCTGATAAAGGCTGGCCGTCGAGCTGGAGAAACCTCTCCGATCAATATGAGACAACTCCAGCTGGCCGCGTTATCGCGGACAAATCTGCCCGCTTTGTGGCAGACCGTGAGTCACCCCAGCGCGCCCGGAGCGCCTTTGTCAGCGACGCAACGCGAAAAGGCATGGAAAACTCACTGCGATGATGTTGACGAAGGTTGTCTTTCCGGAATACTGAAGTCCCACGAGCGTGAGCTCCATTTCCTCCTTCCAGAACAGACTCTTGAACCAGTCAAGTATCCGATTGATGATGGCCAACATTTTGCACACGATCTACGCACTTTTCACCGCTCACGATGGTCCCCAAGTGGAAAATACAGAGGATATTTTTCGCCACAAAACGCCCAAACAACAAAAATATCACTGTCTTCTGCCAAGGTTGCCAATATTGCCCAATGGAAATTCACCACTTGCCGCTCACTTCGCGTCTTTATTTCACCCCCCATTCAAATCCCGTACTTTTCCAGCAACTCCTGCTTCTTCTTCCTCAGCAGCGCCGCCTCGATGTCCTTCTGCGTGGGCACCGGCACGTGGGCGGTGAAGCGAGGGCCCAGGAGCCCCATGGGATCCTCACTCGAGGCCTGCTTGGCGGCATCATCGGCATCAGCTTCCGCAGGGTAAATGTCGTCCTCCTCGTCCTCCACGACAGTCTCTCCGCGCGCCTGCCGCTCCTTCCACTCAGTCACTGCCTGCTGAATAGCCAATCTCTCTGCCTTCTCCTCCAGCGGCAGCAGAATCCCATCATCATCGTCTCTGTAGCCATAATAATCCGCATCGATGTCCCTCATGAGCTCCGCGCGCGTCTTCCTGGGCGGCGGTGGCGGTTCCTGCTCAAACAACTCACGCACACCAGGCAGATCCTTCGCTGCGCCGAAGTACTTGTATCCACGGTTGCCAGGCACTTCCCTGCCCTCGGAGTCGAACATCTTCGGCCCATAGCGACGATAGTGGGGCCCCCCGAGGGCCGAGATCTGATTCTCCCAGTGGCGCTTCTCGCGCAGCAGCTTGTTAATCTCGTCATTGAGATCTCGTATTCGGAACTCGCCCAGACCGGCATTCTGAATCTGCGCCACTTTCTTCGAGATCTCCCTGATTATCTCCAGCCGCCACTTCTCGCACTTGGACAAATCCGTGCACTCTGACGCCAGATAAGGTCTCCTGTCCTTGTCGCCACTCTCCGCCTCCTTGGCAGCCCTCCAGCGAGCCAAAGTGGTCCTGAAAGTGAAAATCCCTCGTAAACAAACCACGAATTCTAACCTCACTGGCAGAACTTCTCTACTTACATCGCCTTTTCCGCATTTCTCGCCTGGAATAACAATTAGAAGAAAGGAATGTTAGTTTATACAACCAATATTAGCGGAATATGATGTTCTCTTACCATTTTTACAGGAGTTTTTGACGAAAATTCCACAGAAACGATAAACTCCGTAAGAAAACGTAAACAAAGTGGTGAATTCGCGCCTCCCCTCTGGTGGCTGGATAAAGAAGATAACTTTTCCGCATCATTAAAGACGGTATGAATGTATTGTTTTCTATGGTTCAGCTCAGTTTAATTAGTTTATTGTGAGTGACAAATTCATTTCAAAGTCTTCCTAAGAAATTGAATCGCCGATCAGTGTGTAATTGTCTATTTGCGGCATTGAGAGTAAATTTTTCGATTTTCTACGTCTTTTTTTTACATTCTCTACGCGTGTCGACATTTCTGCTGCCATGCCTGCTGCTGAGCTCGCATGCATGTAGAGTTGGACGGACGTGGAGTGTCTTTTCGCGAGAGTTGTCAAGTGTGCGCTAGACGTGGCCGGTGAATCTTCCCTACAATGTACTCCAGGATCCTCTCTGTCGCTATCCTCGCCCTGTCGCTGAGCCTTGCGCTCGGCGAGACTTGCAGCAATGCTAAGGTCAAGGGGGCGACGTCCTACACGACCACGGACGCGACGATAGTCAGCCAAATTGCCTTCGTCACCGAATTCTCTCTGGAGTGCTCGAATCCCGGGGCTGAGAGAGTCTCCCTGTTCGCCGAGGTCGAGGGTCGTCTCATGCCAGTGGCGACGATCGGAGACACCCAGTATCAGGTAAGGAGATCGGGAAGGCTTCCTGGACGGAAGTGAGTCTGACTGTGTCCGATTTTGCAGGTGAGCTGGAATGATGAGGTGAAGAAGGCGCACAGCGGAGACTACAACGTGAGACTGTACGACGAGGAGGGATACGGAGCTGTGCGCAAGGCGCAGCGATCTGGCGAGGAGAACAACGTGAAGCCCCTGGCCACGGTGGTCGTGCGCCATCCGGGCTCCTACACGGGCCCATGGTTCAACTCCGAAATCCTGGCCGCCGGCCTGATCGCCGTCGTGGCGTACTTCGCCTTCTCCACTCGCAGCAAGATCCTGTCGTAAAGTCGCGGGGCAATTTCACACAAATGCAGACAAAACTATTTCTGTGAAATAAACATTATTTATAATTGCGAAGTGTTTTTCTGTTTATCAGTTGCACACGCGAAACTATTTGTTGCAAGGTGTATTATTTTTGTACCCGCACGTGGAGCTTATGCTGCATCGCAGCATAGCATGCTTGGCGTCTGGGACTTTCGATCGCACTTGGAGGTGTGTTCATCGCATACTGTGACGACCCAGGTCGTCTATTTATTACATAACTGCGTACCACTAATCATCCCATGGATTTGGGGAAATTTCTCAGTCGCAATCAGCTCCCCTGAGGCCTCTAAATGATAAGTTTTGGCAGTGTTTTTCACCTACATTTGAGGCGCTGATACGCCAAAAAACTTGCATATTTCAGGTGAGTTTGGGAGCGCGTAATAAGTATCTCGTCAATATTTTCTCTTCCCAATAATCTCCTCATAAACAAAGCCTATGCGCATGCCTGGATTCTCAGTGCATTCACCAACACAGCCAAGGCGGCGATTGTGATAAAAACAGGACGGTTCCATTGGGGGCAGAATAGTTGCAAAAGAAAAGTTGTGAAGAAAACAAGTTTCAAGAGCAAAAGCCCAAAGTAAACATATTTATATACAACACTACTTCTGTCCATTGTTCGTCAGAAGAGGAAAACAATCTCGCGAGTGTCACGGTGGAAATCAGGAGGAATTGTGTAATTTTTTTCTATCTGAAAAAGACATCAGAGCGCAAATAGACACAAAAGTATGCCACCAAGTCGCTTGGATGGTCTCTACAGGAGTCTCTTGCTGACCAAATTCTTCTGCAAAGGCTGGGGAAAGCCCGAGAATCTACAGAGGTGAGGTTATGTCATAGATGTGTATCGCAATTTCCCCGCAATTCTGCACAATCCAGCCCAAAATCACCCCATTTCTGTCCCCTTTTCCTCCCTCTTCACCTGACAAATCCCCCCAAAATCCCTGCTTCGGCCATTTCCGCATATGCTCCGCGTGACGTCACAGATGGGGTGATTATATTTCGCAGTTGAACTGCGAAATGGCATTGAGAGAGAGAAAAAAACGTAAACAAGTAGGAGGAAAAGCGACATATTTTCACCGCAAAATACAACTTTGTCTCTCTGTTTGACAGACTATTTGAGTTCCGGAAAATCATTTCCAATCGTGAGAGCTGCAGTCAACTCGTGCCATCGAATTATCCCGTGGAGATAACAAAAGTGAGTTTTATTATAAACAATCAAGCATATGCGCCGTGTGTGCAAAACAGCGAAAATTATGCACTTGCTTTTTTCCGCGCAGGACGAAAAGACCTCAGAATGTCGGGTTTTGGAGGGAAAATTCGTCACGCCATTCTCACTGTATTTGCCAGGATTGGTGCCTGAAGAGTCGCAAGATGCGCACTTCCAGGTCATTCTGCCGCACAAGTGGAACGAGGAGAGATTCAAGCCGATGTGCATCCACTTGGCGGGCACTGGGGATCACGTGAGTGTCTCTCGAGTGGATTGATTGAGTCCAGGCGGTGCAATGACCTGAATTTTCCTGGATATTTTCAGTACTACTGGAAGAGACGAACACTGGCGGCCAAGCCGCTGCTGAAGGAGGGCAACATAGGCACAATTATTCTAGAGAATCCCTTCTATGGCGTGCGGAAACCCAAGGATCAAAAGTAAGTCATCTGTGCTCTGGGAATGCCTGGAGGATCTTATCTCCTCTTTCTGCTCCACAGACGTTCCAGTCTGCACAATGTGTCAGATATCTTCGTTATGGGCGGCTGTTTAGTGCTGGAATGTCTAGTCTTGCTGAATTGGTGCGAGAGAAATGGCTACGGACCTCTGGGAATCACAGGTCTCTCAATGGGCGGACATGTAAGCTGACATCTTAACAGATTTCTCAGAGAAAAAGGCAGTTCATATCTCACCTCTTCTCTTTCTCCAGATGGCTTCCGTTGCGGCGACCAATTGGCACAAGCCTCTGGTTCTTGTGCCCTGTCTCTCCTGGTCCACCGCGTCGGCTGTGTTCACGCAAGGCGTCATGACGCAGTCCATCAACTGGGACGTGCTGCAGTCGCAGTACTTCTCCGACGAGAAGTACCGCGACAGTCTGGCGAAGATGGTGACAATTGTGGACGACGCCTTCCTGGCCGGACAGCGTTTCGTCAAGCATTTCAACGAGTCAATGAAGGAGCTGCGAAGAGACATCAAAGAGACGCACTTTCACACCAAGAAGAATGTCTTCGGAGTCAATCGCGTCAACAATTCGCTCAACTTGTCGCCGGCGCTGCTTGAGAAGCTGCTGTCGCGCGACAAAGGCCGCCTCACCACGCAGGAGGTGAACGAGTTGAATGAGAAGATCAGAGAGGCGCAGCAGAGACACAGACTGAGGCCCATTCCAGGCGCCGAGGAGGTGAAGATCGAGGTGATACGCGAGCTGCCCAAGGGCAACGACGTGACGGACGCCCTCAAGATCCTGGCCATCGCCAACGGCCTGGCCGTGTTCGAGCCGCCGTCCACGAGCAGCGTGATCACGTCGGCTCTGTACGGCGGCACCACGAAGCTCATGAGCTACATCATGCCGAGCAGCGGAGACGCCGCGTCCGCGGAGGCGGGCGGCGACGGCGAGAAGGCGTGGTGGCAGAGCGAGGCGCTGCAGTTCATGCGCGGCGTCATGGACGAGTGCACGCACCTGAAGAACTTCTCCGTGCCGTACGACACGTCGCTCATCATCGCCGTGTGCGCCAAGGACGACGCGTACGTGCCGCGCGAGGAGTGCACGTCGCTGGAGGAGATCTGGCCGGGCGCCGAGGTGCGCTACCTGGACGCCGGCCACGTGAGCGCGTACGTGCTGCACCAGAAGCTCTTCAGATCCTGCATTATCGAGGCCTTCGAGCGCGCCAAGAAGCTCCAAGCGCCATCCGTAGACAACTCCAACAGACTGACGTCGGAAGAGTGCTAAAAGTCAGTAGATTTGCACACATTTCCACAAATTTCTTTCATTTCTTCACAAAAGCTTATCTTTGATGCCTATAATAAGATATTTTTTGTAAATTACCTCATCAAAAGCTAATTGCGCGCCTTGTTTTTTTTTGTCTTTTCTACCCAATGAAAGTAGTAATGCGATTGTGATACAATTTTTAGCAAGGATGTGATTGATAATAAATGTTGACAGAAAAGCTTATCATTTTCTTTTTCTCTTCTAAATTCTATTCGATTTTGTCTGTTAAATTTGATCTTATAGTTAAGTGACAAATTTGTAAAAAGAACTGGAGATTAATACAAATTCTCTATATAGCTAAAATACACCAAATACACATATGAAATTCTTTCAAGCTGAAGTACTTTCAATAACACTATCGTCATTCCTTTACTCCTTCTTATCGTGATTCTCCTCCTCACGTTTCGGCTCTGCAAAAAGAAGAACACAGCATTATACTCAATAATCCAGAAGGAAGACTTCATCTTTCAGGGAGTGACTGAGTTACTTCGCATTTTCCATCCCATTTGCCAAGTGTCTAAAACGCTTAAGCTTCTGACAATTGGGAGGAAAATCTCAGTTCAAAACTCAATCTTCCCATTGTCAGTCTTTCTGCAAACGCACCTTCTTCAGCGGTGGCCGCATTTGCCGGCACCGGCATGGACGGCGGCACGGCTGGCGATTGGTACGGTCCGTGCGGCGGCGGACCAGCGTCCATAGGCGCTTGATGGCCTTGCGGCGGAGGCGCGCCGTGCTCTGGGTAGTGCATCGGAGGCGGGCCTCCGGGGCGCGGCCCCATGTAGTGCGTCGGCGGCGGCGGCCCGTACTGATGGTAGGGATACGAAGGATACGGATAGGGCTGCTGAGGATGCGCGGCGCCGTACGGAGCGTAGTACGAGGCGCGATGCGGTCCGCCCGGAGGCGGCGGATAGCCGCCATAGGAGGGATGAGACGGAAGCCCAGGATGCGGCGGAATGCCGGCGTGCGCCAAGTGGCTGTGCGGCCCCATGTGATGCGGCGGCGGCGGTGGATGATGACTCGGCGGCTGAGACACCTGAGTCGCCGCGATCTGGGGATCCTGAGATTGCTGAGGCGGCGGCGGAGCTGCACTTGCCGGCACCGCCGGATGGCCGGTGGGCATTGGGTGCGGCGGAGCCGAGGAAACGGCCGGCGTCGCCGGAGGTGCATAATTCGGGTGCATCACCGGCGGCCCGGCGACTTCTGGCTTCTGTTCCGGCGGCGGAACAACACTGGGCTGACTCGCCGGCACCTCGACTTCCATCTTCTCCGGCTCGGGCGGCTTGAACTGCCCAGGATGTCCGGCACTCTCGAGTGGCGGATGCGCGACATTTCCCTGCGGTGGAAGATTCTGCTGTGGCGGCGACGATTGCACCGGCTGCGGCTCCTCGACTGGCAACGGCGCCGGCGGAGGATTCTTCGGTCCTGGAGCAACAGTGTTTGTCACTTCGCTGGCCTTCGTCTCGACAGTTTCACTGCACTTTGTCGACGCATCGGTTTCCATCGGCTGAAAAGAAGCGATCAATTTCAGCATTAGAATCAATTGCGAAAAATTACACACGAATTCATGAACTCTTATGAAGCTTTGGGTGCATTTCAAGCGACACTTGTAAGAATGTTACCTGCATAAAGTGTAGCACAGTCATCTGATGGCATTGCAATTGAGGAGAAGCATGAGATAAAGCAATTATACTAAATCTATCGTGACTCTCACTAAAGAGTGTTGCAAGAGTTGGTCTTATAGTGTGTCCTAAATTCTGTGATGATCAACTCTACAGTTGATTTAGTGACTTTCTATGTACAGTGTGATCTTGAACACCGACTAAATCCCCACTCAGTCTCACCTCAGATTGCTGCGACGGCTGCGAATCCGACGGCGGCGAAGCTGTGGTGTTGCTGGCCGCCTGAGGAGCCACGGAAGTCTCAGTTTCCTCCACTTTCGGCGGCGGAGCGCGCGCGACAGACGAATTGGGCTCCTCCAGCTGACGCATCCTCTCACGCCGCATCGCTTCGTACTGACGCTCCACCATTCGCTGGAATGTCTCCTCGTCCACGGCCGGCTTGCAGTGCTGAGCGGAATGACGAGAATCAGAACAATATTCAAATAATTACACTGTGATTTCTCACCTTCTTCAGCTCCTCCTGGAATTGCTCGCTGGACTCAACGAACTTGCGCTTCTTCGCCTCGAACTTCTCCTCGATCTGCTGCAATTCCGCCTCCAGCTTCATCTGGTGCATCGTCAATGACTGCACTTGGCGCTTCAGCACTTGCATTCGCTGCGTCGTCACGACTGAACGCACGTCCGGCACGACGGCGTCCGAGAAGATCTCATTGATGAGGCGATGGTTGCGCAGGAAGCGCGCATAAGCAACGTGCTTGAAGGAATAGCCATCGTCCTGATCCTCCTCGTCCTCCGCCGGCTGTATGTCAATGCGCCGCTCCTGCTGTTGACTCTTGGAGCTCGATCGCGGCGTCTCGTGCGGATCAGCATCCGCACCGGCTGCGGAAACACAATAAAAACATCAGTTTTCACACTCGCACATCAACTATGATCAAACTGAAGCCACAAAGAAGCAAATTGTTAGTGCAAAGCTAGAGAAATTCTATGAGATTTTAGTATGAAAGGCTAAATGGAGTAACAACACATACACGTACCAGGCTTTGATTTACTTTTAGCAGACAAAAATGCCAAATATGCGGGTGAATTGTGATATATTTTCAAGTTTTTCTCGTATTCAACCTGAAAACAAGACATTGTGAGCAGACACACTAAATGTTATGGAGAAACTTTTGTCACATGAAAATCCATCTCTTTTATACAGACAAAAAAGAAACGCAGTGTTTTGTGAGGTTTGTGAAGTGATTGTGAGATTCGTAAGTGTTTCATCTAAGTTCACACACAGGTTTTTCTCTTGTAAAATCAATGAGTAAAAATGGATATTCGGAATCCCAGGTGATCACAAAGCAATTATTTGCACTGAAATTCTGTATTATTGCCTGTACCTTTCAATTTATTCGAATGGTACCGATGCCATGTCAAATATTCTGGCGTTGAATGGTAACTTTTTAAACTCTCAATATATGTTGCCTATAAAATTGTCCAGAAAATGTATTCAAGAGATATTCTTGCACTGCTGAAGTGTCACAATTTGGCACAACAATCTGTTCTTTCTTACCTTCTCCGCCTCATATTCATCAATAAACTCTTGCTTCTCCGCATCAGACGCATCGCGCCACATTTGCCCAATTATCTTGCCAATTTCCCACAGTTTCAACTCCGGATTGGCCGCTTTCACGCTGTCCCAGATCTTCCTCGAGTAGCGCATGTACGGCATGATTGGCTTCTCTGGCGGTTTTGGCGGTTTCGGTGCACGAGGATCGATCTGAAGGCAAAAATCACACGTTTTATCGTTAAATTTGGGTTTTTATCTCAATAACAATGTGAAAATACTCACCGTAACGCCGCCTTTGCCGACTTTTTGCGGCGTGAAAGCCGGATTTCCATGCGAAGAGTGCACAAAAGGACTGGCATTGTCCTTGCCACGATCATTTGACGATGCGCCGCCAGAAGCTCGCAAACGTTCTTCCCGGAAGAGAAATAGACACACAATTAAGTATGACAATAAGACGAAAGGAAGCATGCAAAAATCATCCACAAAATGCCCATAAAAAACATGTATAATAAGACATAGAAAGTACAATGATAAAAATACAAAAAGCAATAGAAGCACTTGAGGAATCGTATTATGAGAAATGGTTAAATGTCTATAGATAACAACTAATTCTCAATAGTTAAAAATAAATAAAAAATACGGAGACAAAATGAGGACAGAATCGGGATTTTTCTCATTTTCTGAAAAATATGGAATTTACCTTTCAGAATGTTGAAAGAAACCGGTGCGACAGGCGACATCATATCTAAAGAAATAAAACAAACAAAGGTAGCACTATTTCTACGCATTCATATTGAATAAGAAGCGCATAGAAATTAGTTTCTTTCAATTTCATCAATTTTCCTCTGATTTGACTGCAGTTTTTTTTAATGTTTTTTGCTTTAGAGAGTTTCCAATTGTAGAGCAAAGAGTAATTTCTCAATGTTGCACATGTATTATTTGCCGAATTCCATTCAAAAATTCCAAGTTTTGAACGTTAAAGAAAAGTAACAGATTGAAAGATATTTAATGCAGATACATTCATGCAAAATAGAAATTATGGAGAAATCATGCACTTTTCGCGTATGGCTCAAGAATTTGAACATTTTTGGAAAAAATGTACTTTTTTTTATGTCAAGTGTGCCTAATAATATGTCGAGTTCTGTAAAATTCTGTTGACAATCTCAGCCAAACGCGAGCTTTTCATTTCATAGATCTTCGCAGATTTCTCTCTTGCCGTACAATAGCTTACTTTTCATCAACATTTTGAGTATATATATATTCAAAAAAGAGGACAAGAAGTTTTTTAAGTATACATGCTAAGTAATAAGTATAAAAGCATAAAAGAAAGTATACATGGTTTCATCTTATATGCATGATTTTCTATCGACTCACGAGAAGGTGAACCACCACTCGGCATATTCATTGCGATTTGCTTATAATTGGGCGGTAGAGCCATTTCTAAGTCTCTTTCCTCCTGCAAATAGGAAAACGGCGGCATTAGAATTGGAATTCCGGGAAGAATGATGCCAACAAGCGCAGCCATCGAGGTGCGGTTTGTCTTTTTCTCACACCGAAAATGCCCACTTTCACGCCACTTACCCTCAATATAATACTTCACAAGTGTTCTTTAGTGCTTTAGTGCCTCAATTTGGTGATTTTCACACTGAAATAGGTCCTTTATCAGCCACTTTTTGACCACAATTCAGGTGACGCGTCAAGAATAAACTTCTCGCTATGAATGCCGACTCCGAACAAAATATGGCCGCCGGTTGTCAAAGTGCCGTCAAACCGTTCCGGAATTTTTTGGGTCACTTTCAAACTGTCAAAATCCATATTTTTCTATGGTTGTTTCGTGTGAAATTACACAGTCTTCTTTGCAAGTGAAATAAGTGGATTTCTAAGTGATTTATATTTGTTCTGCAGTCAAAAAACACACATTCCCAGTCCCAGTAAGTATATTTCATCACCATTTCATTATATCATGGGTTTTCTGTACAGAAAATAGCAGGTAAATAAGAGGGTGATTTGTCATCAATTTCACAATATTGTGCATCAACAAGAAACGGAATAACACCAATTGCACACATTTTTGGCCGTGTCGAAGCAAAGGGTTTTGCAGTCAAATTGGGTCTGCTTGTATCCTCCACTGCAAAGGGGAAAGAATTAACTCGTGTCTGCGATAAAAGCCTCATTCACAACTTACGCTGGATTCTTCTCGCACACGTAGTAAATGCTGCAATTGTTGGGATCACGAACGGATCCTACGCTCTGGCACAGAGATCCTGACGGAGGCGGAGCTGATGTGGTCGTAGTGGTGCTTGTGGACGTCGTGGTTGTGGAGGAAGTCGTTTGCCCAGGCTTTTGAGTTGTGGTGGTCGTTGTCGTTCCGCCGCCGCCGCTGCTTCCCGAGAGGGCGCTCTTGATGGAGTTCATCAGGGGATACTTTCCCCCTCCACACGCCCCATAGACATCGTCCTGCTCCAGGGAGTAGATCATCACGCCGCCCAGACCGCGGGATTTCGCATATTCCGTCTTTCCCTTCACCGACTCGGCGTTGTCATAGCCAATCCATTCGGTGCCCTTGTAAGAGTAGGGAACCTTCTGATCGTCGTCCCAAACAGTTGTCCAGCCGCCCTGGATCAACTTCTCGCAAACCTGCAAAACACTCGCAAATTAGCCACAGATAGACAAGGAATCTTCCTGGTTCTTCACCTCAATGTAGTTCAGCGTTCCCGGCTCGTCAGTGTAGGGCCCCTTCGGTCCTGGTCCGGACGATCTAGCCCCAAGTCCGTTGTTAGACGCGCTGGCCAGAGTGAAGGATTTGCCGTAGAGCGGAATGCCCAGGACGAGTTGGGACGCAGTTGCGCCAGCTTGGATCCAAGCATTGACAGCCGAATGCTGGGGAAGGAAATTATCAGAACTGTTCTCCTGAATTGTGCTACAATTAACTTACCATGTTATAAGTAGCCACGCTGGAAGACTCTTTAGGGCTGCTGTATAGCGGAGAGTTCTGTCCAGTGACTCCATCGTAGGCCGAACGCAAGTCGTACGTCATGAGCAAGATGTAGTTGACATACCTAGAAACCAAGAGCGTCAGTTAGCTAGGAATCTCTGCTGATTACATTGTCCAGATTGTTCTCACTTGACCATCTCAGCTGCATTGTAGGACGATGTGATGAAGTGAGCTGAAGCTCCAACTGCAGTGGTCAGAATGAGGCCTTCTCTCTCGAGTTTCGTCCGCAATTCCTTCAGGAGTTCTATGAAAGCCACCTGGAAATTGAGGGAGCATGAAGTGCAATCTTCTGTGGTTGTTCCGCGCTCTTGCGTTTAGTCAAGACTTGTCAAGAAACAATTCTTGGTGGATCTTATAAGCAGACATCAATGAATTCGCCTTAAACAACTCTCTTGAATAAGACAATTATCCTGAAAACGCTTTGAATTCATTTACACCTCATTAAGAACCCAAAACATACTTAAGTGGCAAGAATTGAATTATGATTTAAATTGGAAGGCTCTTCACTGTTTCGATTCTTTTTCAATGTCATAAAGGAATTAAGGATAAGGTCTAATGGCTTCAAGTTCGGCATGATAGTTAGTCATAAGTCAGAGCCTTAATTTGGAGTAACTGAAAGCTTAGCTTGAGTGATCTGGACTTGAGCTTACCCTATCAGATGCGGCGCCACCGCGTTGTCCAGGATATTCCCAATCTAGATCAAATCCATCGAAGCCGTACGTTTTGCAGAAGTTCACGACATTCGTCGCCATGGCTGAGCGCAGGCTCGGAGAATTGGCCACATTTGAGTAGGTCGTCGAGCCCTCATTCCAACCGCCCATGGCGAGGAGCAGCTTCAGGGATGGATTCTGCTTCTTCAGGTTGATGAACCTATTCAGGCCATCTGAAGACGAGGAAAATGTCAGTGTTTAGAGGAGAAATCTTTGCACAGACTCGAAGAACTTACTCAGACTGTAGTCATGCCAAGAGTCGATGATTTTCACTTCTCCAGTGGGTTGTAGGCCCACAAATGTGTAGATCACGTGAGTGCAGAGATGTGGATCAATGTTCTCGATGTCAACCTTCCCATTTCCACTCCGGTATGTGGCCCAGGTTGCGTAGTAGCAGAAGAATGTGTCTGTGCGGAGAGATCGAGAGTTAGGCGCTGGAATTGAGGATCACACGCGATAATTTATCAGCACCTGTTGCAGCCAGACAAGGAGAAATCACAGCGAAAACTGACAGAATTAGTGTGGAAAAGTTTTTCATCTTTTCTCTTCTTCTTCACTTTATTCTTGCTTTTCACGAGTGAAATGTGAGAATGTCGCGAAATCATTAAGAGCAATGATTCTTATATAGGGTGTCTGACTGCGCCCAATAAATTTGATAATGTTTATTATTTTACAATTGACTCTGTATGTCTGTGGGTGGTAATGTTTTGAGAAGACACAGAGAGTGTCTTATCAAATCACTTGGCGGAAATTTAGAATAAAATTTTGTAAACCTGACTAAACATATTGTGAGCGGAAAAGCATAGCTTATCAGAAAGTGGATCTTTTATTGGGTCTATTTTGCATTTATGTTTGCCAATTAGTTGTTTAGCAAGAGACCGACAAAAATCATCAACTACTGCGTGTGTCGTGATATTTGGGCATTCTTTGCAGCTTCAAAGTGAGTCTGATAAGCCGCACTGAGTCACTTTCTGGTGAATTGAGGAAATATTTATTAATTTACCATGAGCAATAGTAATCTAACGACTGCGGAACTCGAGCTGAAGTACGGGATTTATGTGGACAAAGGATTTGGCTTCGTGACTGAAGTTCCAACTCGTGAATTCTTAGCATCATTCGAAGCAATCCCGGCTGAAGACGAAGAGGAAGAAGCCGTGATTTATGCTGTAATACTCGAACCTGTGGCGTATTTGTACGTTGAGTTCTTGAAGTCAAAATTGAAGTTCGGCAGTTGTGTTGAGAAGGAAATGTACAAGAATATGAAAGTTGAAACCTTCGTCAAGAGGTTGCTCATGAAGAAATGTCCGATTTTCGGGAAAAATGCAGGTAACACAGCAATAAAGGCAATTGGAAGTGATGAAGAAAAACCTCTTCTCCTCATGAGAGATTATCTGACGTGCGATGAAGTGAAACTCGCGTCATTCGTGACGATATCTTCGGGATCAGAAAATCGTGCCACAATTGCAGTTTGCAGTCCTCAATTGGACAGAAAAGAACTCTTGGATTATCAAGTTAGTAAGAAAGTGTGGGAAATATTGTAGAATCCTAAGTTGTTCTTCTCTTTTGAGGATATCGTCATATCAGAGAGGCAAAATAGGAAAGATAATGGATACGGCGTGAAACCGAAGAAATTCAGCACTTCAAGCGTCGAGGCGTTATTTTATAATAGGCAAATGTGGTGCCAATTCTACAAAAGCCGCAGTCTTCTCTATAAACACTTTGATATCACTCAAAAGAGAGCTTTTTCCACTGAAAGTCGCTTTGTGAGAGATGAAAGAACGAGAAATCTATTTGATAGCTTAATTTTGTCCAGAAAATACGCCATAATGATTGACACAATTCTATTTGAGAGTGAGAAACGCGCTGAGAGAATGGGAAAAGATGCTCATCTCTTCGTGATTAAGAAAGGTATTTTGGCTACCACTAAATTGGCTTTAATTCACAAGCAAGTTTTGTGTCTAAATTGATTTCAATTAGATTTGCAGACAAATTGGTTGGATAAAGTGTTCATGGAAACCTTCGATAAGCGCGTGATGATGATTTGTTGGTCTCCCGTGAGGCACTTGAAAAGGATTAACTTCATTGGACTTCCTGAGGAAGGATTCATGCAAAATAATGGGATTGTCAACGTTGAGTTGCTGGGATATTCTTCTTTGTACAACAATCATCCGGAGAAGGGAATAAGGATATGTTTCGCGGAAAAAGAAGGCAACATTGACACAGATGACAAAGTTATGGCAATAAGGGTTTACTTCGAGAATAATTGGATGGAGGAAAAGTGCGTGGCAAACAATCTTCGTATTGCATCGAATAGATTTGGTGTTTTGCCTGTTTCAGATTATGTATCGCGAAGAAGGGAAACTTTGCAATGAAATAGTACTGAATATCAACTGATGTAAATTACTTAAAGGCTGATTTATTATTCTTTTCATTTCAGAAATGTCTGATGTGTGGGAAATATTCAACGATCCAGAATATTCGAAAAAGTCAATATATTATAGTTATTGTTTCAATGCATTGAGAGATTCTTATTATCCGTTCATGAAGCAGAAATTTGATGAAAGCAAAAATACAGAAAAACCCGAAGCAGTTTCCCTAGAAGAACTCATATCGAATTCCGATAAAATGAGCATAAAGTTTCCCAATGAGAGGCATCGAATTAAAACACAGCATCAAACTTCACATTCGTCTATTGTGAAAGAAGCATCTTCAGTCTATCCAGTGATTCTGGACAAGGTTTTGGTACTTTACTGGGCATTTCTTGAGCACAAACTTAAATACGGTGAGTTTCCAAGCAATCAAATCTATTTTATCATTTAACTGTCACCCCCAAAACTTGGTTTTAGGCACTGAAATTGAGAAATCTATCTACACTGGAATGAGTATTGAAGAATTTGTGGATAGATTGCTGACGAAAACATGCGTTTCGTTCTTTGGGAAGAAAAATCGATATCTTCTACGGTCTGGGGAAGTTGGAAACGGAGATTTCAAGACGATTGGAACGAATGACGAAAAACCTCCGCTTATCATGAGTGATTATCTGACGTGGGATGAAATTAAGCTCGCATCTTTCATATCGATTTCGTCGAATACAGAAAATCACGCCATAATTAGCATTTGCGCTCCTCAATTGGACAGAAAAGGATTGCTGGATTATCAGGACATGATCATGGGCAGAGGTCAGAATTGCATGGAAAATGGCTATGGTGGAAAACCAAGGAAGTGTCCTGAGGAATTGGAGGCGATCTTCGACAAGAGATCCGTTTGGAACAATTTCTACACCAACAAACCTCGGATTTATGGTCAGATTAATAAGACGGAAATCAAAGGGCGAACTTATAGATGTCCAAAAGCCCTTCAGCGTTACGTAAAAGTGAGCAAAACCGAAACTTGCGATTGCTACACTTTGGAAAAGAGATTCAGTGCAATGATAACGCTGCTGTTGCTGGAAGCAAATGCACGAGCTCAGAAGGTGGGCAAAATGGCCTATCTTTGGGTGAACAAGTTTCGCATGGGATTGGATAGATTGACTCCTTGCCAGGAGGAGTACTTCTTCAGGATATTCCTCACGGAGGCAGTTTATCAATTCTGTGGCAATTTGCATTCAGTTTTCTGCATACATTTTGAGAATTTCGCGGAGAATTGTTGGGCGAAAGATGACACAATCTTGAACAATAACAATGTGGATGATCCATATTTCTGGAATAAACACCCAAACAAGGGGATTAAGATAAGATTTTCACCCAATTCCGCTGAGAAGGACAAACTACAAGAAGACGACAAGCTTTTGTACGTTTCAACTTATGCATCCAGTCCGAATTCACTGGTAGGAAATGAATATTGGATGGTGAGTGAATTGTAAAACATAGCATAATTCTCTTGTCTTAATCACTATTGTTGCCTTGCAGAGGAAGATCTCCGCGAACAAGGACTCAACTGCTTACTTAGCGTGTCACTCCTTCATCGCGGAATTGCATAATCCGCTGGTGAATCGCAAAATGCTTTCTGGCCGAAATTTGCATATTGTAAGCAGTTGTGTGCGTCACATTTCTGAGTATTGCAGCACTCACTACGCGTACAGCAATTGAGGGCATTTTTGCATCCCGACGTTCGGTAACCAGGGTGAAAATGGGTGGCGCCAAATCACAAATAAAGGCGTGGCTTCACCCTCGACTTCGCGTAACGCAGCGCACACATTCGCCCCAAAAAATCAATATGTTTGAATAACTTTCTCTCCCTTTCGTATTTAATCGAAAACAAGTATTTGAATTTGTACAATTTGTAAGATTTTACATATATTGAGCTTATAAAGATAGTGTTTTTGCAAAGTAAGTTCTTTAAGAGATTGATTTAGGGGAAAACGGAGCCTTGTTGGAGTCCCAGATTTTGAAAATCCAAGCTTTTCAGTCTGTTTTCCAGGTATTCTTCAGAGAAAACGGCTTTCTAATCACTGAATTTGTCATAAATCTTACGGAAAAATGAGGGAAAAAATCATGTTGATCCAAAACTTCTGCAAAATGTGATTAATTGATGAAAGCCCAGCGTTGGTAAGTGGAAATCATGCTTTTTAAATTAGTTTTTAACTGAAAACCACGGAATGTACCAAGATTGAGGAATAACTAGATAAATTTTTGAATTCTTTCTAATTACTAACTTGCTTAAAGTATAATTTTAGCTATTAACTTGATTATTGAATTGAAAAAATCGCCTTGATTTCCCCTAAATTTCCGAAGAAAGACTTGAAATTTATCCATGGAAAAATTTTGCACGGTTATTAAAACTTTTTCATTCAATGGATTTCTTTTGCAGATTTATTGATAATGCCCATTGTTCTCAGTTCACTGTGAGCCTTTAATCCTTTTTCTCTTCGTCCGCACTTTGATTGGCTTTTTCTTGTGGCAAATTCTTCTTCTTGTACTTATTCGCCCTGACTTTGGGCACAAAATTCCCCCTTGTTTTCGAATCCGCGTAATTAGTTGAAATTTGCGCATCGACATCGTGATTGTCGGCAAATCTGTCAATTGGAATGCTGTATTTCTGCTCCTGCTTGAATTCCTTCACGTGATTTTCAGCGAATTCCGTCTTGATGAGTGTCCTTTCGTAGCCAAAGGACGAGACAGACGCCAAATTGATTGGCTTCTCGCCGCCGTTTGACGATATGATTTTGTGGATGAAATCCGTCGAACTCGCGAGTCTGCAGGACATTTTGGGCTTTATTGACACTGAGCCGATGGTGAAGCACTTTCTGTCCGTCTTCTGCTGGTTGTTGATGATGTTCTCGGCGTTTTCGCTCTTGTGCTCCTGCTGCTTCTGCCACTCCAGCACATTGGTCAGCAGGTGAATGTAGCTGATGGGGAAAAGGGGGCAATTTTCAGATTGAGTCTCACTCATCCCCGGGAATTCAACACTAACCGAATGGCCATTCGCAGGATCTCATTCTTCGACAGCTTCTTGTCCGGCGGATGCGTCGGCACCAATTTCCGCAGCTCCGCAAAGGCGCCCGACACATTTTGCTGCCGCCATCGCTCGCGCGTGTTGGTGAAAATCTTCCTCACCACCTGACCGTTCTTTATCATCGTGCCGCCGTTCGTGAAAATCATCCTCTGCGAAACACTTCGCGCACAATTCTGCATTCCTACAATTTTTTTCAACATGTTTTCCAATCTTCCCACGCATTCACACATGGTTTTGTCCTTATCACCAACTCACCATTTCCTGTGATATTCTCCTCATCTTCGGACTCGTTCAGCGAGAAGTCGGACATTTCATCGTCCGAGAGCGAATCTTGGTTGCTCACGAGTTGTGAAAAGCTCGAATTCTCTTGGTTTAAGCCCTGACCACTGAATCTCTTCCCCGGATTTGAGCCTGAATCCGCGAGATTTGGCGTCGAAGGTGTCGAACTGCTGCGCTCAGTGTTCGTCTCGTCATTCTCCGCCCAATCCATGTCTTCAGCAAACACACCCGCGCACAGCGACCGCTCGGATGGATTTCTGCAGCGAGACTGAACTGGAGTCGCTCTGTGGACTCTGAGCGCACGCAGTTGCGCCCCTGGAGTGCCCAGGAAGGGTGGCGCATCCGAGGGTTGCTGCCTAATCCCTCAATCGCAGCGCTCAAGTAGCCAGGCTAATAAGCCCTACTTTTTATCGCGGGCAAATTGTGGGAATTGGAAATTTATTCATTTCATCGGTCTGTGCACGTGACCTCATCAATTGGAAATTAATTTTTGACATTATGGTTGAGTAAATTCACTTAAATGACGTCTTATCACTTTGCAGGGGATTAAATGCGATTTTTATGACTCCGAGGGTGTGAATAGACAGTGTTTTGTTTATCCCCTTCACACTAAGTAAATACGGCGAGTGGCTGGTGCGAGATAAGGATGTACTGGAAGAGAGCATTCGTCCTGTTCACCGCTTGGGAAAATAGATTAAAAAATATTGAGGGCATTTTTGGGCATAAAGTCAAGTCAAAAGGGAAATCATAACAATCATCTGCTAGCATTACTGAATTTTTCTGCTTAAATTCTGCAAGGAGTCCTCTAAAGAAATTTCTCCTGTGCTCTGTAGTTGCTCTCTCAGATTAAATCTCTCAGAAAATATTTACTTTCAGAATTTATTATCAATTACCTATGCAAGGAAAAAGATTTCCGTTCATATGAGAAGAAAGGAATAATAAGTGCTCGAGCAAAAAGAAACTGAGTCTCATTGAGTAATTGGTTTGATGGATTTTACAACAAATGGAAGCTGCATGATGAGACCAGGATAAGGTCCAGTTAAAAATGATTCTAAGATTTCCAACCTGAGACGATGGGAATAAGAAAATCTAGCTGCATTTTTCGAAATTAATATGGCCTGCGATTTCTTGGGATTTCACCATTTATAAATCGCTGTGATTGAAATATGTTGGATGAGCAATCGAATAATATATAAGCCTATTATTAAATGATCAATTTAGAGCTTAAAATTCAACACATTCTGTCAAACATTTTTCCTTGTCACTTATGATAATTGAACGATGTACGGAATATCTTTGAATTTTTTTCACGTCGTAAAAACCAAATCTAAATTTATTAAATAGTAAAAAACTCAACATTTAGTGTTGAAGTGAGAAATTCACGTACATAAATCTCATCAAAGCCATCAAAGAATATGTATTAAAAAATAGATATGTTTGACTGTCTAAAATAGACGCGCGATTGTTCGCGGAACTCCAACCACGCCTTCCCCTACACGGGCGATTGAGTGTCCCAAACGTCCGTCAATCGGCGAGAGAAGATCAAAATAATAATCACAGCTGACAAACCCGTGCTGATCCGCTTTTTTTCTCTACGAATATTGTTGAGGAATTAAATATGTACCGCGGTGAGTAATGGTTGTCTAACAAGAATTAAATAGAGAGCACAACGCATGCCTGCGCGAAAAAACTATATATTTTATTGCCAATAAAATATACGAATATAACATTGCTATTTATAAGTAGATTTTCTTACATTCACAGCTCCTCTCGCAATGAAAATCGGTGGCTTTTCCCACGCGAATGTCGCGAGGCCGCGAACATGCTGAAAGTTCACGCCGCGGGACCCTTTATTGGGTATAAATATTGTTTTGGGAACACTTTTTCGCGCTCTGCGCGCGAGAGCGCGCACTTGGCGGGTTTCGCGGCTCCTCACGGGCGCGCCACTTGGCGTGTTTCGGGCGGTCGCGCGGCCAACTTCACGCCGAGAGTGAGCCAAAGTGACAGTGACAGCTGCGGTCGAGCAAATGCAAATGAAATAGAGAAGAAATTTTCAACAATTGCTATTGTAGTGAAAAACTTAGAGTTGTAGATAAAAATGGTGAGTAGACGACAGTGCGTGATGGCAAAGGGTGCTCACGGTGTGCGGGCGGCGCGTGGCGCTGCATTCTGCTGCCCGATCACGGCGAGAGTGTCACATTGAAGATGTCTCTTGGACGGGGATAGGCCTAAATATGGAAAACCACTTTTTTCTCAAAATAATTTTTTTGATATAATTATAAATCAAGCTCTATCCCGCGCAAAGGGTGGCCGCAAATGCGGAGAGACTGGACTAATGTGTGTCTTTTCTGTGTGCTTGCAGGGAAATGAAACATCTTTGCCCATGGAAATGTGCTCCAATTGTAAGTAGATTTTTTTTCACCTCCGAAGGGGGTTCATCTAGCGAAACCTTACAGAAATCTCGAGCGCGCACACTCCCCGAATGGCAGAGTGTAATCAGTTTGTCAATTTGTAAACACAGCTCGTTTTTCTTAAATATTTACCCAATACAAGTTCTCAACTTTAAAACCAATTTGCAGAGCGCCCAAAGGCGGCCGCGAGGAGCAGTCAAAAGAGCCTCCCTCGGCGCACGGCGGCCCGCAAAATCGCGGGCGGACGCCAAACGCCCCCCGCACGAGGCTGCGACAAGTCCGGGGGCCATGCCGATATCTCGGGCCGTTCCTCCTCGCGCCAATCCTCCGACTCTCCCCTATCGCGGAATTCTAAATAAAGCCCGCGGGGCCAGGCAGATGCCAAGATGATAAATCGTGTGACAATCGCCGTCTGACTTCCGATAGCGCGCGTCTCGCGGGGACGAAGATGAGAAATGGCCCGGGAAATTGCAGAGAATTTGGAGGAAAAACGCCAATATTTTGCCACACTAATCAGCCCCTTTTGCGGCAAAAGTGCAGCCCAAGTCGCCACCATTGGCTCTTATCGCGCGCGATGCCGGAAAACTTATCGAAATCACACAACCGATTGTTTCTCTGAAATTGTACAGAAATTACCGAATCCAACAAGTTCAAATTAGTTCCATCGCTTTGCCCACACTTTGCCTCATCGACAAGGCGCGAGAGGAAGAAAATCCATATTGCCAAGGCGTCCAAATTTCTGAGGACATTATATAAGAAATTTGGACAATAAAATCAATTAAGAATTCCACAAGCATTTTTAGTTGCATAATTCTTTAAAAAAAAAACCTGTTCAATATTTTCACTACAGTGCACGGTGTTTAATTGAGTGCACTTGTGCTTGAGGAAATTAGAATAAACTCCGGGGGAAGTGCAAATAAGCTGATCAGAATGGGTTCAGAAATTATTTTACATCAGGCTTGAAAGCTACGTTGTCTGTATGAAAAAGCGAGCTGAAAAGTTGTAAAGAAAATTCCCTTTTATCTTCCGACTTTATTACTAATTGTCAATTAAAATGATCTCAGAAGCATAAAAAAGCCAAAGTTAGGGACTTATCACACATGAACTTTGGTTGGCACTCCAATTGGATGGAATTTCCTCGAGCAGAATTCAAAGGGTTGCCAGATTCTTGTAGTCAAAAGTGAAACTCACTTTTCTCTCCTGTTTTTCTATTGTTGAAACCCTTTTTCACTTCACACTTTCTTCTTCCGTGAATTGTTTTACACAATAGATTGTAAAACTATTTCGAGAGATGTGCAAAAATGTTCTGGAAGAAAAATTAATTGAAATCGCTGTCAAAAAGAGCTGCTCGAAATCTGCAATATTTGGGGTGTCCGATGGATATTTATTTCGTTTTATGCTGTTCCGGACTTTTAACGATTTAAACCAGATTTAGTCCCTCTTGAGGTATGATTTTGGCCCCAGGAAGGAGTTTTATAGGATTTGTAGCCTTATCCTATTAAATGAATTCATGGTTTCTGCAAGATTAATCAATTCTTGACAGAAAAACGAATTGAATTTTCTTATTGATTGTTTTACTGATCCTTCTTAATCTATGCAAGAATCTCATCAATTCTTGATATATGAAAGCAAAGAATTACTTTTCTACCTGCTTTATCTGAGGCCTTTGAAGCAATTCGTCATTCGTAAAACACTAAACACTTGATAAGACGCACAATCTCTCAAATGACTTCTAATCTGGCTCCCAAACTGATCACATTTTCAGCTCGGCTTTATCTTGACTTGGCGAAAATCCTTCGAATAGATGTCAATTTGTATTTCTCATCGCCCTTTCATGCCATATTTCTGCGCTATTTCGCAATTTTCCTCCACCTTTCATGCTCACTTAACAGACTTCAGTAGAATGTGGAAAAAGAAGTTTTCATAAAGTGCTAATTCAAGAGTCATTTGTAAGTCTGCCTCATCACGTGGTGAGTGCAATTGAATGCCCGTCACTGTATACATATTCCCCATAGCGCAGGTTTAATGTATGCTTAGTGAGCATTTGTTCAAATATTTGATCTCCTCTTTTTTCGTTTCAGTTGACGCGGATGAAATTCGTCGTCTGGGCAAACGTTTCCGGAAGTTAGATCTCGATAATTCTGGCGCGCTGAGCGTGGACGAGTTCATGTCATTGCCGGAATTGCAGCAAAATCCACTGGTTCAGCGCGTGATCGACATATTCGATGCCGATGGGAATGGCGAGGTGGACTTCAAAGAGTTCATCCAGGGCGTTTCGCAGTTCAGCGTGAAGGGCGACAAGCTGTCCAAGCTGCGATTTGCATTTCGGATATATGATATGGACAATGATGGATATATATCCAATGGGGAGTTGTTTCAAGTAAGTAGAAATCCACTGGTTTTTCTTTTCTTTCACTCAAACTTTTCGTTTTCAAACACAAATTTCTGACATTTTAGTGCTTTTTTCATTTCTCCTTTCTGCAAGAAGATGAATTCTCAGAGTATGTGATCAGAGCATAAGCACATATACACTGACAAAACTGTATGGCAATGAGCACCATTATTATGGGAATATTCAGCAATAAAATCCAAAATTATTGCAATGAATCTCATTCGAGTTTTCACACAAAATCTGAAAACTCCGAAAGCTTTCCTATCATTTTTTATGGCTATTATTACTTGAATTTTAACATTTTTTCTATAACCCGAAGATATAATTTCATTTATACAGTTTTTTTAAAGGTCTGTGTTGGAAACCTTTTAGGAAAAATTATTTAAAAAAAATTACATTTTTTTTTTTAATTAAGTTAGAAAATCAAATTCAATTCTGCTTCAACTTAAAATATGGCGATGAACTTAGACTACTGGAAAACGACAGTAGCGCCACCCGCCATCTTCTGGCCTTTGGTCACTGGCAAAATGTGCTGCAAGTCGTTCTTCCCGAAAGAGATTTCAAAGACAAAATTAAATTTCAGGGCAAATATTGCTGCAAATTTTGTCATAATTTATGGCACGATAATATTTTATCTTCAAACTTTAGCGCTTTATATATAAGATTGTAATTCTTGTATCGTAACCTTTTCTTTACAATGCAGCAATAATTTCCTATAAATAGAATTATTTCCCATGCCTTTATGGCAAATCCCACGAAAATTCACACAATACAGAAGATATTCCTAGACAAACTTGAAAAAATTACTCAAAGAATGGAAAAACTTGGAATGCATTGCGGATATTCCCTTAACTATGGTAGTAATTGCCACACAGACGCCTCCCTAAAAAGCTCATGTGGGAAGAATTGCAATGTATTTTTCTCAGTGTATATGGCACATTGAAGACTGTAGCTATATCCATGTAATTGACTCTTTTGCGAGACCCATGCTCAGTTTTGATTGAGAGAATAGTATATTTTTTTAGTACCGTCCACTATTTTTCGTATGAAGACAGACATTTTAGTGATAATCACAGCGTCATGGAGAAAGTATAAAAGAAAAAAGCATTCTTTTTGTTGAATAAAAGTAAGCCTGCAGTCTAGCTAAGACATAAGTAGTGGCAAACTAAGCGGGAAGTGGATTTGATGAAATATATTGATGGATTGAATGGATCGTCGAGCGAGTCGCGGCGCTTTTCTACTCAACATTCAAACACTGTAGCGCGCGCGCGCGGCATCGGCGAAGAACACTTTGCGATTATTAATTGTCTCAACGATTTTGCTTGGCTATTAGAGATTGTCTCAATTAGGTGGCAACCTTTTCAATGTTCACGAACAAGACAGATTCAGTGGCTTTTTCCGTACAAAATTTTAATTGCATCCAGATTTAGACTTTTTGTCATAACAAACCAATTTAATACTTAATTGGACATAATATAGCATCGTTACATTCCATTGTCGTGATCTTAAAAGTGGGAGGAAAGAAATCAAGACGAAGAAAGGGGTTTGAACAATATTTCACACGCAATTTAATTTAAATTTAGAAGCACTTTTCTATGTTCGAAAACTACAGTTTTTTTTATCTTTAGTTTCTTGGGTTAGACTTGCGAAGCATTGTGTAAATTCGGGACATTGTTTAAGGTTTTTCTGCTCTTCTAATGCTTCTACCTTTTTGGCTTCTATTCAAATTTGTTCAATTGAAAACTTTTGCTGCATGAAATTCTTTTCTATACTTGCAATTTTTATATAACTTTTGTATTACAACACTAAAAAAAAGTTCTTCAGGTAAAATAATATTCTGTATTTAACAGTTTATTGCATGAAAATTTTGAAGAAGAGCTAATTTACTTGCAAGTTCTTTGCTTAAGAGACTTTAAGAAGTTCGTAACGTCACCAGGGTTACTTCGCAGCATTATGTTTTTGAGGACTTCTCTTGCTTATTCCTTTTTTGGTGAAGCATTTGAGCAATTTGTGCGATCGTGAGAGGACATTTGATCCATTTATACAAATCCATATTCTCAATTTTAATCTATTCAATAAATATATTTACATGACTATTTCTTTCTTAAGAAAATGTAAATATTCTCTTTAGTTTTGGCACTATTTATCAGCTCTTAACTATGCTGTATATATAACGCAATAAAACTCATTTCAGGTGTTAAAAATGATGGTCGGAAATAACCTAAAAGACACTCAATTGCAACAAATTGTTGATAAAACTATCGTTTTCGCGGATAAGGATGAAGATGGAAAAATTTCATTTGATGAATTTTGTTCCGTTGTTGGAAATACTGATATTCATAAAAAGATGGTTGTTGATGTTTAAAAATGTATTCATAGAACACCTTATTATTTTTCTTTTTGTTTAAATGTAGTCAAGAGGCAATTAGTTATTTTTGTTTTTCTTTTCTACCATATCTGTGTATAGTTTCTTTTTCTTCTTTAACCAATGAAAAAATAAAACATGAGAACAAAAAGAGCAAATATATATATATATGAAAAGTTGGATACTTTCTATTTGAGTCATTTTTTTGAGAGAAGAAAAGTGAGAAAAAAGTTGTCAAGATAAGAGAAATGATCTTTTTTATTTTTGGTTTTAAATGAGTAAAAATTACATAAAGAATAAATTGAAGAAGAAAAAAATGATAAAGTGACAATTACAAAATTACTAGATTTAATAAATATATAGGGTAAAAATATCAAAAGAGTAATAATAAATTGAAGAGATTCACAATCCTTGCATTTCAGTTCAGAAATTCTTAATGTGAAAAAATAGAGTAAATAAAAAGAAGAAAAAGAAGGAAAAGAAAACTCGTAGCTTGATAATTGAGATGAAAAAAAAATGAGAGAATAGATCCTATGTCGATATCACGCCCTTTGTCTGATTAAAACTTAAAGAATCCCTTATATATATACATGTATGTACAAAATTTGAGTTGTTTTTATTTGTTTACTCCTTTTAAAAAAAACCACTTTTACGTTCATCTGCACATATTTTTGACAAGAAAAAAAACAAGGTATAAACATTTATATATATATTTTTTATTTCTGCCATATATATTGTAGTCGATAAAATATGTTTGTAATTAATGTGTTTGTATATGATAAAAAAACAAGAAACATCTTCTTTTCATAATCCATTTTTCGTGTTAAATATAAATTCCTTAAAAATATCTTTACATTGTAATACGAGATGAGATGAAAAAAAAACTTTAAAACTTAGAACAATTTAAAAAAAAGATGAAAGTCATATTACTTTTAATGAATAAAATGACACTGTATCTTGTGTAAAGTGTGCCAACAGAAGCGCTCGAAACTAATAATCCGATAAAGTCACACAAGTTGAAACTCTTGGCTACTGCACAGTGTATAATTGTGAGAAATTAAGCGGCGCGCGAATGCATTTCGGCGGGGTTTTGCGCGGAGTTTGCTGGAAATTGTGTGTGCGGCAAATGGAATGTTAATAGCTTTATTATTCGTCAAGAGTCGATCCTTGTGCGCTGTCGCTAAAGTGTTATAATCTGATAGCATTCTTTTTAGTGCAAAAAAAATGTGTAAAATCTTCTGTCTTGCCTTTCGGATGAGGTGGGGAGGGGAGGGGAGAGGAGGGGATAAAAGCTGTGCGGAAAACCTTGCGAAATGCACTCGATTTGCGCCTGGTTTAATTTGATGCGAGGAAAGAAATAGAAGATCTCTGCCTTATAATAACTGTTTGTATGAGTGTTTCAACATTGGAGAGAAACAGTTTTAATTAAAAAAAAAGAAGATGAAAATTGAGAGAAAAGGGAGGGAAGATGGCGAAAAACTAAGTAAATTATTGAATTGAATGGAATAAAATGAACTATTGTGTTGATATTTATTTTATTTATATATAAGATTATATATACAAATGTGTACATATAATTTTTTTGTCTTAAAAACTCTGACGAGGCAGAGAGTTAACATTAAATTAATGGGGGGAGAAAACTGAAGAAAACGCGAGGCGGAGGACGTGAGGAAGAAAAGTCAGGCGCGCGAAGAAGGAATGAAATATCAATTTAAGAAATAAGAAATGATTCAAAGTTACTTAATTTTTGCTTTAGTTCTTAAACCATTTGAGAAAAAAAACTTGCGTTTCTTCTTTTTGAGTTTGATATGAAGGTGTGAAAAAGAAAACATATAACAAAAATGAATTTATGCACTTAAAGTATTGAAAAAAAAATCACATGAAATTGAAAAGTGAGAGGAGAGAATTTTCAGAAAACTTTTTATCACTAACCTCTAAAAAAAAGCATCTAAGTTTACGTGAGTAGTCTTATTAATCTCTCTCCATTGCTCTTTGTACTATTGTAATTTATACATTATACTTTACATTTGCATAAATGAAGAAGAAAAGCGAGGAGTGAAAAAAATACAGTTGATAAAAATGAAGATATTTAAGTCCAGACGATTTTTCTAAACAGCAATACATTATACAAGATATTCATAACTGGAATAAAAGTTGGAAAATATTGAAGATAACAACTCAAAAGCAAATTACACTATTTAATGAATGGAGAAGGAGAAAAAAAATGAGATATTGCGGAGCATCTTTTTTCCACATTACATATTTATGCATAAAAATAATTAAGTCATTGAAAAACGATTTCATTACGCTAAAAATCTTTCTATATTTGAGATGAAGAAGTGAAGGAGAAGAAAAAAAATGAAGTTTAGGAGTATAAAGTTAAGCACATTGTAATAAGACATTCAGATCTGTAAATTTTCTATTAATCGCACTAATAATAATCAAAAAAAGATTATATTTCTCATAATAGTGAAAAGAAAAGAAAAAACTATACATAATAAGGATAAATGATAAAAGATTGCTATATAATATTAAAGAAAAAAAAGAAGAAAAGAAGTTAAATTGAAGGAAGAACATAAAAATTTCATCCCATGCATACAAAAAAAAAATATTATGAGAAAAGATAAAAAAATGAAGAAAAAAAGATAACATAATTCTAGTATTCTAAGCGAATTGAACAAAAAAGGATAAAACGTTTAATTTATAGTAGAATTTTAATATGTGAGGTCTGTAATATTAAATATAGATTTTTCTGATTGTTGTTTTCTTTTTTCATTTTGTGAAAAGCCTTTCTAATAAGCATATAAATTATATAGTAAGATATATAAATGTGAAAACCAATTGAAAGAAGTATATATATATACATATATGATTTTATAAACATAAAATCTCTTTTTCAAACAAAAAAAAAACAAATTACCTTTAAATATACCTTTCAAAATAGATGACTATCTTTATTAGATAAGTGAAAATATTGAAAAAAAACTTTGACCAACATCAGATTATGACGAGAAGACAAATTTATTTCCTCACAGAGAGAGAGAAAGTGAAAAAAATGGGATAATAATATAACATGCTAAACTTCCGAGGATGTTTTCTGGTTGCACTCCTTAAAGCGAAATATCCCTTCAATCATTGTACAAAATGACTTATTTAGTGTGATTTCAGTTTGGTTTTGAGGCGCTACGATTTCACATCACAACTCTGTGCTGTGATTTGTCGAATTGAAGGAATGGAATTCGCTCTAAAGTCTGGGTTTTGATTTGACAAATAAGTGGATTAATACTTCGTCAGATCTCAAAGAAAATAACACGGGAAAAATAGACAGAAATCGGGAAAAAGTCTTATGATTGCTTCCGCAATTACATGACAAAATACGAGAATGTAAATAAGAGACATGATTGTCAGAACATCAGCTGAATGCCAGAAATGAGGAAATTTGTTTATCTCATGCTCTTGTAGATCTGATGAAGTGATAAATCTGCGAAATGTACAAATAATCTGCAACTCATATTTCCAAAAGGTCAATTCTTCCTTAAGGATAAGGATGTAAAATTCATGCTAATCATTCTGTATACTATAATTTTAATGTCAAGATCTTAGATGCTATTTTCATCTCACTCTACTCCGTCAGATCCGTTGGATTTTGGACAGAAGTTTGTGATTTTAAGCGATTCTTTCCATTTCCAATTCGAGTGTTTTCACAGTTTGGAGTTGACGTCTGAAATCTCAGTTCCGCATAAGCTAACAAAAGTGGGTGCTTATCTATAATATCTCTTTTTGTATGGATAGTTTTGAGAAAAGGGTTTTCGTTTATTGGTGTTTCTGGTCTCTTATGTTGACTGATGAGTCCTTATCAAAGGACGATTCGCTGCAATCTCTTGCGTGGACAACATCACGGTGAATCTTTTTTTACCATGTTTTATAATTTGTCTCAGGGAATGGCAATACTAATTTAATTAGATGTTAGTTTAAATGGGAAAGAGGCACAAGGATATTTAGTTTTAAGGAGTGCTTTGGCAAATTTGACAACTCACACACGATGATTGTGGAGCTGAAGAAGGATGATATACTTGAAGAGTTAGCACATTGCTAAGAACTAAAAGAGGAAGAAAATACTAAAAGACTATCTTAAGAGTTTTATCCTTGAACTTGATTGAAAGAGATAATAAAAGAGAAATGACTATTGAGCAGAAGAGGAGCGAGAGGAAGAGAGAGAGAGAGAGATTGTAATGAAAAAGACCCTATGTAATTGCTGATGATGAAAAATGATTATGAATTTGAGTGCGGAACGCAGAATAGAGTCACGTGGAATTTCACGATTAGAAGATATAAGTAGTAATTGTGTTTTACTCGTTTTTTATGCATTGTTTTGCGCAAGGAAAACTCATATCAGTAGATAAGGTATGTGTTGCTCAAAGTGAAGGGCATTTCTCCATAGTTCAAACCACGGACAACACTTGTAAACATGAACAGCAATATCCTGCGCGACTCTATTCTGAATTCCGCTGGCGTTCTATGAAATTATGTAATTGATTGGTTCTCACTTAAAGAAAAAAAAAATACTAATTAACCTTCCTGCGAGCGTGTGAAGACGAGCGCGCGAGAGAGAAAGAGATTCGATTAAAAAAAAAATAGAGCAATAGTGGTTCCAAGAATCGATTGTTGAACATTTTTCACTCATGACACTTCCATAAGAGCACCACTCGTGTGCCATCAATCCACCTACCGTTGCTGCAATTGAGCGCTCTTGGCCGCAGGAAGGTTGAAAAGTGACCTATCATAACACTACCTACCATATAGTGTCTCTATATTCCACCCTTAAGAATTATAAGAAATCTAAAGATTCTGAAGAATAAATGAATTGAAAACCAACTCTCACTCATTACCGCTGGTTAAGTCTTCATCTTGCGATTACGTTTTCCCTATTTGTAAATGAATCATTGTGCAGCGCACTTCTCCGCGCGAGACGCGCGTGCGTGCGCGCCTCCAGGACAGTTGCGAGTGCGTGTGGGCGATGATTTCTCTCGTTAATGGTGCCATCGATTGCAATTGGTGTTTTCTTTCGGACTGTCCGCCCGATCTTAAGGATGTAAATAACCATCTAAAAGAAGAACTATAACATTTTTGTATATTTCTAAAAAGTATATTTCGAACTTATGTAAGGGTAACCTGAGAATCTTTTACAATTTAATTTATAAAAAATGAGATGATGATGAAAAAAAAATAATGAGAGTGTACGATTTGATAATGTATTGCATATTTTAATTACAACACAATAGGAGAAATATATCTTTCCTTATTAATGTAAAACAAATTTACTTGACAAGAAGCATTTTTTGTGATAGTCATTAACTATATATCCACCAAAGAGATATTAAAGGACTTGTTCTCGAAATTACATCTCCTCGATTTTCCTTTGCTCTGGTGTTTTTTTTTTCTGTGTCACGCCGTGAAGCTTCTCAGAGGCAGATGGCGCGTCATTCAAGTGGGCGGGGCATGCGAGTGGGCGTGGCTAGACATTTCCGCGAAAGAGGCCTTTTTTGTTACACACTTCTTAAACTTTTATTATTGGGATTGTCCAAGAGTCGGGAAAAGTGTAGATTTATTCATGACTAAACTACAAGGCAAAAGGACAAAACAAATTGAGTTTGTAGGTGAATTTTGAGTGTTTTATTGTTTCCTAGACATTTTCAATAAATTTCATCGTCTGAAGGATGAAACTTAATGGTTTTTTTTTAAATCAATTTTGCTATTCTTTCCGATCATGAAACAATTTATGACTTGAGAATCTCTAGAACTTCCTTCCTTATGTTGTGATAATTCCTCAGATGGTGCGTCAATCTGTCCTTTAGCTTGAACGCTCTGTAGCAGAAATCACAATTGAACGGCTTTTCGTCACTATGCGCAGCTTGATGACGAGCAAATTTGGTCCTATTCTTGCAAATCTTGCCGCATTTCATGCAAGTAAAAGGCGCGCTTTTAGACGCACTTCCGGACGTTTTCGATCTAGAATATGAGAATGCAGAAATCAGTGTCCGGAGAGACAAAGAGCTTCGAGGATATTACGTGAAATGCCCTCGCATGTGAACCAGCATCTCTCCTTTCTCCTTGCACTTCCATCCGCAGTTGTCACACTGCAGAAGTCCGTCCTCCACTTCGTGCTCGTGAATTGGCACGTGTTGCTTCAGCGCCTCCAGATCGTCCAGGACGATCTTGCAGAAGGGACACGTTTGAGGGCCACTCGTGATATCCCGCGGAAGTCCTTTGTGGCGCAGAGTGATGTGCTGGCGTTTCATTCGCCATGTGCTGCATTTTTCTCCGCAATACTGGCAAGTCAATCTCTGGTGGGAGGAGAGATGAGCGGTGAGACGAAAGCCTTGCTTGAATCCTTTGCCGCACAAGTCACAAGACAATGGCGAGTCCTGTCTGTGGTTCTTCATGTGAGCCTTGAGCGTTAACTTGAGCTTGAACGCCATCGAGCACTGCGGACACTTGAAATCGCGGGCGTCGCTGTGCGTGCTCATGTGGCGCATGAAGTAGTCTTTGCGCCAGAACACCTTGCCACACTGATCGCAAGTGCGCTTCCTGCCCTGCATCTTCTCCTCCTCCCTGTGAAGGATCAGGAGTCAGTGTCAAATATCTTCTCCAATCGCGCGATACTCACTGCTTGTGGACGAACATCACGTGAGTATTCCTGTGGCCCTTCTCACTGAACCTCTTCCCGCAAATCTCGCACTGGAACTTCTTGTCCGGATTGTGTCGCTTCACGTGGGACTGAAGCAACTTCTGCTTCGCGAAAACCTTCCCGCAATTCTCCACTTCGCAGACAAATGCGTCCGCAGAAGGCTTCAGCCTGAGATTCGGATGCTCAGCGCGATGCCACTGCAGATGCCTCGCCGTGTCGAAATCCTTGCCACACACGAGACATTTGTGCTTCTGCTTCGACACTGCTGTGACTGTCACAGGATTCTCAGCTGGTCTGCAAGGAGATCCACAGGAATCATTGAGTGTGCTTCTCAGAAATCGTCCCAAAACTCACTCCTTCTTCACTTCTGCAGAGAATTCTTGGCCTTTGTGGACATCCTGTATCGTGTATTCATCCTTGACAATAGTATAATCGAGAGTGACTTCCTCAGGCTCCGCTTTTACTTTAATATTCGCAGTATCCATTTTTATTCACAAGATCTTCACAACAATAACACGGTCGATAAACGCTCTTCTCCTGGGCTCTGAATTGTGAGTCGCATATTTTTGTGCGGCTGCATAAATTTCAAATACTCACGTTAACGGGTATGGAAATATTAATAAATCATGCGCAAATAAATGTTCCATCTAATTGAGGTGTGAAAAAGTATCAATTGTGTGTAAAACAGGATTTATAAAATTTTCCAGACAGTTTTCCACGCCGAAGCGAAAATTATGGCATTATTTTTCATGAATTATGTATAGACTTCCAACATATATAATTGACTTTAAGGGCTTTAAGGCTTCTATTGTGATGAAAACAAGTAAATCGCGAATCTCATCAGTTCGATGAATTACAATATTATGGCACGTCGAGTGAGCTTCGCGAGTTCAGAGAGCACAAGAGAAAAATTCAAGGTGTGCGCCTTCGAATTGACGTTCCGCTTTCAGTCGCCTTTTCGCTCGCGCGCAGTACTTTTCCTCACACTGTCCAGTATTCTATTTATTGTATTTATTTAAAAGTAATGCTTATTTATTGACTCGCGATAAGGCGCGCTTGTTGAGTCTCAGGGAATAATGCGAACCAGTGAATGTTAAAGTGTTAATTGTGCGGCATTCTTTTCGCATTTTACATAACCTTCTAGATGGTGGGAAATCATATCTGGTGATTGTGAAATTGGATATAAAATTAGATACCAAAAAATGAGGCTGTTTTATCTGCTGTGGACAAAAGTGCCGGGCAAGCTGGTGAGGACGCTCGTCAGCCAGAGGAAAAGTGTTCCTCCGGCGACGTACAGAAGAATCTGGGGCTCGTTGTTCGGCAAATACCTGCTCCTGACCAACACCGTCAGCTCGGGGATCCTCATGGGGCTGGGAGATGTGATGTCACAGGAGATCGAGTACCGGACGCAGCTGATAGACAAGCGATACGACTGGAAGAGGATCGGTGAGTGGCGTTTCATTCCGTTTGAGATCACCGCTTGAATTCCGCGCGCTCTTCCAGGACAAATGTTCCTCGTGGGCTGCCTGGGAGGCCCATTCCACCATGTATTCTACAAGTGGATGGACAACATGCTCCCAAAGGCCGACGTGCTGACCTCAGTGAAGAAGATCCTCCTCGATCAGGCCATCTTCTCGCCCTTCTGCATCGTCACGTTCTTCTACTCCGCCGGGCTGCTGGAGACCAAGACTTTGCGCGAGTGTAACCAGGAATTGCGAGAGAAGTTCCTCACAGTTTATTTGGTAATAACACGCTGAGCGCGGGCAAGAGTGGCCACAAATGATTGAGAATTCTCTTCGACACTTTCAGGCTGACTGGACGATTTGGCCCGTGGCGCAGTTTCTCAATTTCTACTTCCTCCCGCCGCAGTATCGCGTCTTGTACATAAACGTCGTGACAATGTTCTACAACGTGTTCTTATGCTATGTGAAGCACACAGAGACGTCGTTCTTCAAGTTTATGGAGAAATCGCCACAATAGTCACAATAAATCGGTCCAAAGGGGAGAAAATAAAGCGTTGTCTATTGATGATTGATGTTATCTCGGCAGTAATGCAACTCAATTCGCCTTGTTTACATACTCGCAAGCATCGACCCAGTCATTGTACACATCAATCGGTTCCGAGAGGAAGTTTATCGTCGTCTGATAGTCCTCCAAGCACACACGACACGTTATCCGGGCTGAATTGCGACTCTTGTCCCTGGAAAGATGCACAGAAAAAGGTGTTATTCACCCGACGCCGAGCAAAAACTCTGTTTTTGTTTACATTTTCACTTCGCACGACTTTTCGTGATTGCAGAACGGGCAGTTAAACTGCTGATCGAGCGGCTGGATTGCCTTCCTCTTTGGCGGCGGCTTGCGCTTGGACTTCCTGCGACCCATTTTGCGTCAATACCAGCTGATTCGCTGCGGCTGAATGCGAAAAAAGCACAAAATAACTCCCTAGAAGCTTGGGATCTCTTTCTGGGTTATGTTTTTACACTGTTTGACACTTAACGAACGCCAACCCAGCTGACTCTGTGGTCACTCGACGACTGAACGAAGATTATTGTCAGCACTGCATATTCGTCTAATATTCGTACCCAAGCAGCCCATCAAGTGCACGTAAATTAACCCTTAAACGGCATTTCCACAGCACAATCGCACAATCTCGAAAATTGCCAATGAGACAGGGCTCTTTTTTACTTACTTTTTTAATCAGAAAAACTTACCTTTTTGATTTGATCTTATAGATTTCTTCATCTTCACTTTATCTGTAATCTTATTGCTTTGAAGGAAGTCTATCATTAAGGCTATTGCAATGGCGGACACGGCGGGCACTATAATCCAAAATCAATGCTGATTTTAATTCGATATGAATTATAAATTAGGATTAATCGGCACACGTAAATCTACATTTTAAAGCGCAGACAGTCACTAATTCGCAGTCATAACGTTGTCTCTCATCGGCAGATAATGCATTAGAAAGCCAAGACACATTTGCTCGGCATCAACGACACAGATTATAATAAATCTCAGATTAAACAGCCTCATATGTACTGCTGAATGAGTAATTGTTGCACAATCACAATCATCCTAACAATCATCTCTTTAGCTCCGTATCAAGGATCTGAATGAATGGGGAAATTCCGAGAGATAGCGCGGGAAATGTGAAACAGCAGTGTTTTCTAACCTGTCAAATGAGCTTGTGTTTATTGGGTGAGAGAGAGGAGGAGACGCGCCGCGTGATATGGGGGCGCCAGCAAGAGCGCGCCTATGAGCACGAGCGCAGTCGAGGGGCACGGTCGTGCGTTGCTGGTCTGCATGGCAGCTGGATGTTCGCCATTGAGTACGTGCACGACCACAGATGCGCTCACGGCACCCGCGGGTTGGCACGTGTAGTTGCCGGAGTCGCGCAGTGCAGCTCGCGTCAGCATGAGACGCGACGTCGTGCCAACGTCCGTCTTTTCCGTTTCGAGACTGATACCGCCCCGCGCCGAGTCGAAATCCACTACGGCCGAGTCGTGCAGCCACGCTATGGACGGAGCGTGCACGTTAACGGAGCAAGCCAATGAGATAGTACTGCCTTTCTTTACATGCACCTCCGCCGAGCCCAGAATCTTCGCTCGTGCTGCCGCCAGGAGATCTGCAGATACAAAAAAATGAGATGAAAAGTATAGAAAAGGCGCTAAGTGTGCTTGGCACAAGTACCTGTAACTTCAAGGTGGAAGGCCATGTTGATTTTGGGTTCAGTGTTTACTTGGCATTCATAAATGCCGCTGTCGCGTCTCTGCGCAAAATTAATCTTTAGGTTCCAGTCATCGCTGTTGACCGGATGATCAACGGAAAAGCGTTGATCGCTGGTATAAGTGAATGAGTTAGATGTGAGAATGTGCAGATCGCGCTTTCGCATCCATGAGATGGTGCGATTGGCGCGATTCCTAACGCGACATTTTAATATCGCCACTTCGTCTACAACTGCAGTCACGTTGCTCGACGAGACGTCGTCGAAATATGGTCGATCCAGCACGATGGCGCCATCTGTAACAGATGAATGCTTATCTTGAGTTTGCAGGTAATAAAAGATAAGACGAGTTTTCAAGAAAACTTCATATTAATTATTATGTATTGCTTTTTTCTTGTTCTGTTTATATCACAAATTTTTGAACAAATATAATTTTTATAACGCATTAATCTCCATCCAACGTGAAGCACTCGATGATAATGAAGCACAGGATCTAGAAAAAATTATTATAGTAAATCCTGAGATTCATAGAACATTTACTATGGCAATTTCACCTTTTAACTATTTTATATCATCTCACTTTTATCACTGATTAATTCCCAAGTGTGATCACAAATTCATGCACATACACTGCACTCAAGTTTATTGTTAGATTGCACGCTAAGTGCATAACGAAGTCCTGTCATGGAATATTTCCCGGAGCCCCGCGAAAACTCACTGGACGCAGGAAGACCCCAAATGGTGCGCAGGTGCTGTAGGTGGTACAGGCAGGAGATTATGATGATGGTGGCGACTCTGGGTCGCTCACTGTGGTTCTCTTGGCTCATGTTGCAGGCGACAAGTCCATTTTGTACTTGAGACTCCGTCACATATTCACTATTGTAGCACCACACTTTGTTGCACGTTCACAAGCGAGTGCTACGGTTCGCCTCTGATGGCGTTTCTGCAGCTAATGACAAGGATTCGCTGCCCCGTCGCGGGCGACCATGCGCACTTTTCCGCGAAAGCTGAGGCGATGCCATCTGCCAGAAATCATCGTCCGCTCCTCCACGACTGGATGCCGACTATGTCCCGACAACGTGTCAACCACTGAGCACAATTTTGAGTCTATAAATATTCGTTATTAAACTGGCAATTCATGATTCTATAAACATATTTGTTCCAAACATAACTTAATATATTTCACTTCACTTTACACTTCACTGCACGATAAACACTAAATCACTTGCCTATGAAAAGATGCTTTTTTTCTTCTTCAAAATAAATCATTTCTTTTTGGACTCATCATGCAATGTCTGGCGAACCCTGGAGCTTCGTGAGCACTCACTTGACGCAGGAAGACTCCAAATGGTGCGCAGGTGCTGTAGGTGGTACAGGCAGGAGATTATGATGATGGTGGCGACGCTGGATCGCTCACTGTGGTTCGCTTGGCTCATGTTGCAGACAACAAGTTCATTATGTAATCTTAACTTGAGACTTTGTCACATTATCACTACTCTTGCACATGAATTCAAATTCACAAGAAATCGCTAATGGTTTTTCTCTGGCTTCTGCAGCGAATGACAAGGATTCTCTGTCCCCGTCGCGGGCGACCATGCGCACATCCTGCACTGATTTTTGCGGTGCCATCTAACAGAAATCGTCATTGATTGCTGCCCAATATTTTTAATTTGGCGGTTCTTGTCAAATTGCCTGTGACATTTTAATATATTTACATTTTTTAGAATGCAATAAAATTGGAAATTTTATGCACAAATACAAAAAAGAAATGATAAAAAAATCTTTTTTGCGTGTTCGCACAATATTTCTGTATATGTTTTGATATTTTACAAATTTCTTAGTAAAATAATTTATAAATTGTGGATGTGTTGAAAAATTGGATTTAGGAACTTACAGTTATCGGTTATAAGCTATAAAATGAACTTATTTTCAACTGTAAGTGTAATAATAATTTTGCTCTTTTCTTGGAATCCTTTAAAATGAACTCAAATAATTAATAATAGATGAAGATTCTTTTTAAATTGGGTCATAAATAATTGCTTCTAAACGACGTTATAAAAACTCTCTCAATTCAAGTTCAGAATCTCGTCTAAAAACAATCTTCGTTCAGTTTCCCCTCCTGATTGAGAGCGAGAGAGAGGGGAAACGAGGTGCTGGGAGAGCAATTCAGGAGAAATTGTGCCAATTGTGCTTCAATCGTTTGGGTTGACAGACGGGATTGTTTACATTTTCAAAGTGCGTATTTTCTGTGATTTTCTCGCGAATAGAAGACAGTATGGAAAAGCCGCCGGTAAAGCGGTATCGCCGCGATGAGCAGACGGACAGTGACGCGGAGGACGACTCGAATTACGTGCCGTACGTGCCCGTGAAGAAGCGACGGAAGGATCAGCTGCTGAAGCTGGGCAGGATCGTGCAGCTGACCGCGGAGGCGAACAACGCCAACAAGTCCTCCAGCGAGAATGAGCACGACGAGGAGAGCGAGGAGGTGTGGGGTCGGAAGTTCAACATCAGTCTGCTGGATCAGCACACGGAGCTGAAGAAGATCGCCGAGGCGAAGAAGGTGAGCGCCGTGGAGAAGCAGCTGAAGGAGGAGGAGAAGATCCTGGAGAGCGTGGCCGAGAAGAAGGCTCTGATGGGCGTGGCGGAGTTGGCGAAGGGCATTCAGTACGAGGATCCCATTCAGACCAGCTGGAAGCCGCCGCGATTCGTCCTGCGCCGCCCGGACTCGCGCCACGCGGCGCTGCGACAGAAGCTGCGCATCCTGGTGGAGGGAGACGACCTGCCGCCGCCAATTGCCTCCTTCCGCGACATGAAGTTCCCGCAGGGCGTGCTGGCGGGGCTGCAGCAGAAGGGCATCCGGAAGCCCACGCCTATTCAAGTGCAGGGCCTGCCGACCGTGCTCGCCGGGCGAGATCTCATTGGCATCGCGTTCACGGGCTCCGGGAAGACGCTGGTGTTCGTGCTGCCGCTGATTATGTTCTGTCTGGAGCAGGAAGTGAGCCTGCCGTTCATCAACAAGGAGGGCCCGTACGGGCTGATCATCTGTCCGTCGCGCGAGTTGGCCAAGCAGACGCACGACATCATCCAGTTCTTCTGCGGCCAGCTGCTGGGCACCGGCATGCCGCAGATCCGCACCTGCATCGCCATCGGCGGGACGCCCGTGAGTGAGGCCATCGAAGTGATCCAACGGGGCGTGCACATCATGGTGGCCACGCCGGGGCGCCTCATGGACATGCTGGACAAGAAGATCGTGACGCTGGACTGGTGCCGCTACCTCGTGATGGACGAGGCGGACAGGATGATCGACATGGGCTTCGAGGAGGACGTGCGCACAATCTTCTCCTTCTTCAAGGGACAGCGACAGACGCTGCTGTTCTCCGCCACGATGCCAAAGAAGATCCAGAACTTTGCCCGCTCGGCACTGGTGAAGCCGGTGACGATCAACGTGGGACGCGCTGGGGCGGCGTCCATGAATGTGACACAGGAGGTGGAGTATGTGAAGCAGGAGGCCAAGATCGTCTATCTGCTGGACTGTCTGCAGAAGACGCCGCCGCCCGTGCTGATCTTCGCCGAGAAGAAGCAGGACGTGGACGCCATCCATGAGTACCTACTGCTGAAGGCCGTCGAAGCGGTGGCGATCCACGGCGGCAAGGACCAGGAGGAGCGCTCGCGCGCCGTCGAGGGCTTCCGCAAGCAGGAGAAGGACGTGCTGGTGGCCACGGATGTGGCTTCCAAGGGTCTGGACTTCGCCAATGTGCAGCACGTGATCAACTACGACATGCCGGACGACGTGGAGAACTACGTGCACCGCATCGGGCGTACGGGGCGCTCGGCGGGCACCAAGGGCCTGGCCACGACCTTCATCAACAAGTCCACGGACCAGTCGGTGCTGCTGGACCTCAAACACCTGCTGATCGAGGCGAAGCAGAAGGTGCCGCCATTCCTCGCCGAGCTTTGCTCGGAATCCGAGAAGTACCTGGATCTGGGCGACTCGCAGGGCTGCAGCTATTGTGGCGGCCTGGGCCACAGGATCACCGAGTGCCTCAAGCTCGAGGCCGTGCAGAGCAAGCAGGCGTCCAACATCGGCCGCCGCGACTACCTGTCCAACACCGCGGCGGACTATTAAGCGCTGCACAGCAATATTTATGTACTTTCCAGATTCAATTCAGTAATAATAAATGTGAAATCTCTTTATTCTTCGTAAACCAATTAATGTAGGAAAAGCATGAGAAATGAAATCAATTTAGACCTTCCCGAGAGTATAATTAACCCATCCTTGATCATGAGTTCTCGTGCTGAGTCGGATCGTCTTGTACTTGGCCACAACGGCCTCTGCCCAGTTCAGCTTGTTCTCGCCTTGCATCCCGTAGAAAACAGTTATCATCCACCCGGAGCGCAGGAAAGAGTTCACGATCTCGTCGAACGTCGCCTTGAATATCTCCTCGTTGTTATTGCAGTCTTCGCAAGGAATCGTCGCTTTCCCGATCGGCGGCGGCACGTCGTCAATCACGCGTCCCACCGACTTGTCGAAGGCAATCGCGTCGATGTACAAATTATACGCATTGCTGAGATACTGCCACTCCTGTCTAATTGTATCCCCGTCGCCCAGGTACTTCCTGGCGCGGTTGTAGTACACAGTCGCCTGCACTATCTTCTTCTGCAGTCGCAGAGATTCGCACAAGTGCAAGTTGATAAGGCCATTGAGGGAGTTGTTTGCGCGCGCGCCCTTCTCGCCAAGCTCGGCGGCAAAATACAGTATCTCGAAGGCCTTCTCGTGGTGACCAAGCTTTGTATATATCTTGCCAGCACTCAGAGACGCCTTCATGAGCATCACCAGACGCTTCTCGTTGCTCTGCGGATGGTGCACGAAGGCATTCATCAGCACGAAGATGCTGCTGATGCACTCATAGACGGCGGCGCGAAGGAAGCCGTAATTGCTGGCCATGCATCCCTTGTCAAGCGAATTCTCGACGAACCTATGTGTGTGATTGTAGTTGATGAGCAGCTGCACTTTCTCCTCCTTCCGCAGCGGCACCGAAACTCGGATCACTTCGATGTCCGCAAAGACGATCTGGCGATCGTTGGGATACCGAGTGTGCTCATTCGGGGGTTCTCCGAAGTACAACCGCGGAATGAGGAACTGCGCCCTTTCCTGGTCGCGCATCGTCCGCACGGCATTCTCGAAGGCCGGCAAGACGCCAGAATCGCCGCCCAGGACGAACACAAAGGGCTCCTGGGTGATTAAGGTGGTATCCCTGATCACAATGTCATCCTCATCATACGTCGTGTACTGCACTGCAATCGCATTGCCGTCCTGCACCTTCTCGCCCAATCCCTTCCTGAAAATCTTCTTGAATACGCCATCGCCCAAATCTTTCATCTCCTTGCGCGCCTCGTCGAAGTTCACGTCGGGTATAACTTCGCTATGCACCTTATCAAGCAGGAAGATAGCTTGAGGCCCAGGCGTCCAGTTGGTTGTCATCGCGCTGCTCAGCTCAACCAGACGCTCACGGATTAGCGGTTTCCCCAAAATTAACCTGCAAAGGCGAGCAAACATTTCCTCTTTCGAAACAAAGGAAAATCTCAATTCAGCATTACTCACGGAGCAGAGCGATGGTGTATAGGACAGAGTGCATAGTCCTTCTCATTTAGCATCTGGAGTGCCTTCCATGAGAGCCACTCTCTCGGTTCCTTGGGTTCATCCAGAAAATCCATTCCAAAAAGCGCACTTTTCCACAAAGAGAGACTTTTACAACATGGACGCTCGAGGCTTCGAATGATCGCCGCAAACTTTCGACTAGTGTGTAAGAATGAGAAGGGTTGATAAAGGGTTTCGCGATTCAGATATCCGTCTCTCTCACTCTCCGAGTCGCTCGCTCGCCGATGATCTAGAATAAAATTGATTGGCTTAGCCGAAAAGCCGTTATATTTCAATTTTTTGCCTAAAACAAGATCATTTTTCGGGCAGAATAATGAGAGATAAGTAAAATCATCATCGTGCGAGGGCTTCTGCTGCAAGGGCACCATTTCCATGAAGTTCCAGTTCAAAGAAGCGCCAGGACACGCAAAGAAACGCTCAACCTCAACTTATTTAACCAAGAACTTTTGATTTGATGTGTTTCAGCATCACGACGTCGTGTAGACTTATATAGTTACCTGGAAGTGGCTTATTCATCATTAAAAGCAAAATAAGTGAAATACATTTGTATACTTTATGCAGTTTCCGAATATATTCAGTAAATTATACTCTGGGCAGTTTTCTGTGTATTTTCTCGCATACAAGATTTCCTCCTAAAAATACTATCAATCCCAGATCACAATGTTTTTTTTTGTGACAAATCGTCCAATGATCAAAATATGCACTAAACACGAAAAGTTACGAACATGCCAATAGCAATTTGCACAACATCTACGCCACCACTGTGCACTCGGGCTTCAGCATCTTGAAGTCCTCGATGCCGCGCGGCGTGATGGCGGTGCCGGTGACGTCCAGGTACTTGAGCCTGGGCGAGCACGTGGCCAGGTGGCGCAGCGTGGCGTCCGTGACGTACTTGTAGAAGCGAATCACGAGGCGCTCGATGTACGTATTCGGGTTGCGCCACTCGGCGCGGATCCACACGACGCCCTCGAGGACGGGATTGCGCGAGAGGCCGAAGCCGCAGATGCCGCGGTCTGTGATGGAAGCGACGGGAACGGAGCCGAGTCCCAGAGTGCCGTACCTGCTAGAGAAGAGAGAGATTGTGAGCTACAGAGGAAAGTATCGACGATTAACGCAGTTAGGATTGAATACGTTGAAATATTCTTAATTTCATCCGTTACTTATTCCAAGAAATGAGTAGAATTGAAAAAATTAGTAGCCTTATTATAGATTTTATGATTTTATATGTCTAAAAGGACTTGTAATTAGGTAACTTCAGGTTAATTTCAAGACCTTTTTTGAAAATCAATTGTCAATCAATGCCAGAAATGGAGAGCTTTAGCTCTTCAAACATTTTTCCCTCAATTCCCTCCAGCAGGACTATTATCCTCGACTCTGATATGAGAAGTCGTTTCGCAAGAGTCAAAAGATCGTCCGCAAACCGTCAAATTTAAATACAATTAACAAACAATTTCAATAAAAGTAGAAAGAGATTTAAAACCAGTCGGATTAAACCAGTCGTTAAATTTCGGTCATAAACGGATCAAAGTATCTTTATGCCTGTGGCAAGGAATTTCCTGCCCTTGTAATGATCGGGTTTCCCGAGTGCGCTTGTGTATATAAAGAGGAACGTTCGCTCTAGCAAGTCAGTCTGTCATCGACTTTAACGATACACATCAGTCCTGTGCCGCATTGGTTTTTTCAGTTGTTCTTGAGCTGTGCATTGCGAAGATTTGTTACATGATGAATATCGCGTTTTTTGAAGCTGCAATGGCGTTGAAGCCGACGAGAAGGAAGGATCCTCTGTACCTCCCTGAGGCCAAATTTATTGAGAAATACAGTCTCAATAAGTATTTGGCTAGGAAACTGATCGCGAGATTGGAGCCTTACATAACTGATTCTCCGAAGATGTCTGCGAAGGCAAAGGTATGCAAATTTAACACTATAATATTCGCCTGATTCTAAATGTTTCTCTCATTTTTTTTCCCTGAACAGATCTTCACTGCTTTGCGATTCTTCGCCTCTGGATACTTCAAATTGGATCCGCCAAGTGTGAAGCACAGCATTATCGAAGTGCTCGACGCATTTGAGAAGGCGCGCCTCTCGGATGAATTCATCAGATTTCCAAGCACACTGGACGAACTGCGCAAATCGGAAGCGGCATTCTACCGTCGGTTTGGATTCCCGGGAGTTGTGGGTTGCATTGATTGCACACATGTTGCTATTGTTGCTCCTTCCAATTCGAAGAATGTTTCACAGCATCTCTACGTAAATCGGAAGAAGTACCATAGCATCAATGTGCAATTGATTTGCGACTCGCGCCTCAGAATAACCAACGTGAACCCGAGATTTCCCGGAAAGGCGCACAACTCCAGGATATGGAACAGCAGCAAGATCAAGACAATCATGGAAGAGGTGCACAAGGTTAACCCGAACCAATTTCATCTCATCGGAGATTCCGCCTACGCTCTGCGCCCGTGGATGCTGACTCCCATCGAAGGCGCGGCAGAAGGATCGCCTGAAAGTGAATATAGTGAGTGTCAGATGGAAGTGCATTCTGCTATTAAGCGTGTCAATGGACTCCTGAAGAAAAGCTTTCGATGCCTTCTGCATTGTTTGCATTTTGATCCTGTCACGGCAACACGAATCGTGAAAGCGTGTTGCGTTTTGCACAACATGTTGAGGGATGAAATCATGGGGGAGAGTGACTCGAGTGATTCCGATGATGCGATTGAATCTGATGATTCCGATGATTCTGACGATTCTGACACTGAATATGCTGATGCTGGGATCATAAGCCTCAACTATAACCAGAAAGGCGCTGGCGAATCTTTGCCAGAAACAAGTGCAAACCCACAATTGACGGAGGGAAGGATGAAGCAGCAAAAAATTGTTAAGAGCCACTTCAACTATGTTCAATAAATTATTTTTTAACTTAATATTTTATTATATTTGCACAGAGTTGCTGACTCGCCACATTTTGGGATGCAATCTGCTCATTCGCTAGTTTTTTGATAACTTTCTTCGATAAGCAGCATACTTGTAGACTTCTTCTGCGATTTCAGGATCTTCAGTCACTTCCGTCTCAGTGAGGAAATCACATAAGTCTCAGCTTCTTCCGCGTTCCTTTTTCACTGCTTTTTCAATTTCCATCACTGCTGAAACACTTTACGTAAATGACACAGCGCGATTTGGCCTTAAGTGCCAAAACGAACATATTTCTTCATACGATTGAAGTTAATATTATTCACTTCCTTCGGATTCTTCGCGGCCCTTTTGCGGTTACTCAAAATGCGCTCTTTGAATTTATCAGAGTTTCTCAACGTCTTCTACATTATTTCTCTCAGATTCCCAAGAATATGAAAATTTGCCCCTGAGAGATTCTCTCAATGAAAATCTTTCACGCTTTTGAACATTTCGAGAATAGCAGCCCAGAATTATTGAGGTCTGCTGTGTAAATCGATTTTTACTCACATTTGACAGGCAGTTGTGGGCGCACTCTGCAGCGCCTGATCGCTGATATCGCTGGGATATCCTGGAAAGATGATGATCGGACCTGAAAAATGCAGAGAAGTGAGAAAAGCGAGTCGCGCCGCAGTGATTATTGCTCACCTCTGGCTTCGCCGCCGCCGGGAATGTTGGTGAATCTCCTGCGCATCCTGGGCAGCATGATGTCCGTGGCCAGAGACATACCGGGCCGTCCGGAGCTACTGCTCGGGCCGTCCGGGCTCTCGTCCTCCGCCAGCGCCATGGCGGGCGCGCGCGCGGACTCGAAGAGGGACTCGCGGCTGGGGCGCTGCAGCAGCAGCTCCTTGAGCGTCGTCGTGACGTTGAAGCACTGGATGTCGCTGTCCGAGATGGGCGTCTCGCGCACGTCCAGCTTCTCCAGCTTCTTGAAGCCGAAGCGGGACGCCAGACTGGCGTAGGGGACGCTGTCCTTGAGCGAGCCGCAGCCCCTGAGGCTGAGGTCCAGCAGCTGCGAGATCTTGGAGAAGAGGATCAGATCGTGCGTCTCGAACCAGTCGCAGAACTCCACGGCGAGGCGCGTCAAGTGCTCCAGATGCACGTCGATCTTCGTGAAGAAGGGATGCTGTCGCGGCGGGAAGGACACTGAGCAGCTGTGGAAGGTGAGCGTCTTGAGGGTTTTCGGGAACTTCAGTATGTTGATCTGGAAGCGAGAAAAAACACACTCAAATCTTCCTCTTTGGCCGGGAAAATGCAGATCTTACCTTGGAAGTGTTGAGGAAGCCCTGCGTGAGCGAGAACTCCTCCAGCTTGGGGCACATGTCCGTCAGCATGGTGAGCATGAGCTCGGTTATCGTGGCGTTCCGCCAGTTGCTCTCCGGATAGGTGCCCTGCAGGCCGCGGATCCGGAAGATTCTCGTCTCGCTGTTGATATATCGCATCCGCCGCAGGATTTCTATGCCCGACAGCGCCACGGAGTTGAAGTCGAACACCTGCCACAGCTGCTTGTCCTTGCTCAGCTCCTTGAAGCGCATGCAGGTGCTGCCGAAGGCGTAGATCGACTCGCTGTCCAGATGCTTGAGGATCTCCAGCAGAATCTCGTCGCTGAAGTGGCTGATGTTGAAGATGTGCTCGGCCTGGAACACCTTCGCCTGCGGCTCACACGCCAGCACCTCGTCGTCCGGACGGCGCTTCCGCGAGCCCTTCGAGCATGTGGCAGTCTGATCCATCTCTCCGGGAGTCCTTCTATTTCCGCAGCCCCACCGAAAGCGACACGCTCGCAACGCACACTTTTCACGCGGATTCTCGCTCAAGCCGCTGCACAAAGTCACGCACTGCAGACGCAAGAGTGGCCTTTGACTGGCATTTATGCAGAATTTGGTTGAATTTCACTTGAAAAAGCAATTTATTGTGCACAGCAATTAATCCAAATATGTTTTTTTGCTCCACTGTTTTCCTTTTGACATTTGCTTCGCTCTTCGATGAACTCAACGAAGAGCGACTGGCGATTTATGACGCGTCGCAGTATTTTACACACTTCTACATTTATTACTTGGAGCAAAAGCTTCTAAATCCTTCTGATCCTTCTCAAGTATTCCTCGGCAAGGAGTGTGTGAGAATCCTTACGAAATTTGTAAGAAACTTACAATTTGTGTGAATAACTCTAAAGTGTTGAATTTTGTTAACATGGAAATTCTACACAAATTAAGAAAAGCGCTTTTGCCATCTTTTCTTTTATCCTTCCAAAAAATTCAGTTGTGGAAAAGAAGCTCGAATTATGGATAAAAGATTGTCGTTAATTTAAGTCATTTCAGTCATAAGATAATCAGTGGATAAAGCTTATGACATTTTTAGGGACATCTTCAAGGAAGTCATTAAGAGTGTCATGCCTTCTTGTCAGAACCTTTGCAATCTGTTCAAAATGACTTTTGATGTGAATTCATTATCTCATAAGGTCAAATATCTTTCAGGAATAGTTTTTTTCGACAAACTCATTAATTTGTATTTAATGAATACTTCAGGAGAGAAGCACTTCTCACTTTAAAGCCTGTGTTAATTAGTTAATAAGTTGCTCTAATGAGTCTGTCGTGAAGCCACTGAAATCATCGTCGCCGCTACAGTCATTTGAAGGGCTTCACTGCCAGGATCTGTCTGCGAAGCGCACGTAAACAGGACGAAACACTATCTCGAGTCTAGCAGGTGAATTACTTCATCACTCGCCGTGGGCCGAAAAGGAGGAAAGCAACTGTGCGAGAGCATCGCTGATGATGATAAATGACGAATGACAAATGATAGAATGATGATTAATTGGCGCTAGAACGGTTGATGATGATTAGACCCTTTTGCTAACATGGCCAGAATTCATTTATCTGGCGACGTACTTTCTCACCTCCTTGACAAATGATCATTAAGTACTCGCGAAAAGCCAAAACCCCCAAATTTGCCTCAGCCGAGTCACTTCATTAATGTCGCGTGCACTCAATTTAGTGCTTCCCATTGAGGAGCGTACGAACGGTGATTTTATTTATGGCCCCATTTCTTCTTGGATAAACTTCTCGCGCGAATCTGCGGCGCTGAAAGGCGACAGAAGAGTGCACTTTCGCTCACACCGAGGACACTCGGTCGTATTGTGTTTGCCAGAACATGTGTCGCAACACTTTCTCTGCCGCCTGCATGCAAAGATTGCGGAAAGAGGGAGGAAATGCAGTGAGGAATGGAAAAAAAAGGAAGCACATCTCGAGAGTCGTGCTTTAGCAATTCCAACCACGTTGCCGAGGATATTCATTGGCTTGACAATCTCGCATTGTACTTGGCATGGCGAATGCGCGCGCGGTGGTGAAGAACGTAGAATGTAAATTTATTGCTGACATTTGACAAAACCGGTAATTTAATTTAAAATTGGCAAAACAGCGGGGAAGAATTAATTCTAATTTTAATTAAGGAGGCCAGAATTGATGTAAGACAGAGAAAGATGGCGCACAACGGGGAAATATCCTGGACGAACTTCTGCTCCGCAGGAGTGAAAAAACTGCCAATGTTCTCTCGGCTTTTTTCTTCACTCCTTACACACACACACACTTTCGTCTCCACTCCGCGCGCGAACACGGGAAATTTAAATTAGGGAAGACAAGAGAAAATTAATCACCACAAATTTATATAATTCTTCATTAATTTTTCGCCTTAACACGGCCGCTCGGCGGAAGCATGAAAAGAATGTCGAGAACCTGAAGAAGAAATGGCGAGAGATTTTCTCAAGTGTTGGCGCCCCTTTTGCAATTGATTGTCGAGATATTCGCCCTTGCACGGGAATTCCATGGCAAATGAAAAGGCGCACGTGCAAGTGAAATGATTGATATGAGTGTGTCATCACGTGTCTTCTTGCAGATGAAATGCGAAAGCAACATTGCAAGGTGGAAGGAAATTTCCTTCTCTTGCTCACATTTGAAGGCTTTGTGCGGAAATTGAAGAAAGCAATAGTTCTCAGATGGATCGTGAGGAAGTTGTGCAGATTCCACAGCCAAAGAGTGACAAAGGAAGAACATGTTATTGAAATTTTTCTGCCAAAATCATGCGAATATTGATGTGCGAAAATCAAAAAAATACAACAAAAAGGTTTTACTAACGCTCAAATGGCACTAAAGTATGTTTTTTTCATGCAATTTTAATCTCGATCGTCACTGTGAAATAGTGTAAAATCTATGAAATATTCATGCTTGTGCTTCGAGTTGTGTGTAGATAAAATTTAATTGGTTTTATGTCACTGCAAGTGTTCAAACAAAGTTAGTTTATTCAGAATTTTTGGAAAAAAAACTGGAACAGAAAACAAACCCAAATGTTCAATGTGACGTCAATGAAACTTATCACAAGTTAGTTAGCAGAATAGAGTTTGCGAATTGGATTGGAGTACTTCAACTATAGCAGAGAATGGGAATTGTATAATGTGTGGAACAATTATCAAAACTCTTCTCAAGACAGCTGTATAATTACCAGTCATTTTCACGCACATGTTTTTGATATTTCGCTGTCTTTACACAATTATGAAAGAACTATTGGAGCGATTCCTAGTGAAACAAGGGATGTTAAAAATGTGTTAGTTCAGAATGATTCTTTGCTATTCTGAGTCACACAAAAGAACAAATTCATTCAATGATCTACACACTTTCTGAATTAATCTAATTTTGACTCACTCTTGTCAATTCTTGAGTTCTAGATATGAAAAGATGCTTTTTAAAATTTATTGGATTGTGAAAAATTTATAAAATGAATTGAAACTATTCCGGGATTTGCGGAATTTAACCGATCTGAATTCCTTCTGAGTTACACAGCGTCATATTAAGGGATTTGCGTCGAAATGTCGGTAAGTTATTGAACTTACCAACTTGCTTTATGGATATTAATTGCGTGCAATTTCTTTTTTAAACAAAATTTTAGGGGAAAATAGAACTGATATGGATTAAATAGGGTCTTTAAATCATTGATTTTTAACAATTTTCTCCCCAAAATTGTGTAAAATTAGGTTAAAATTCATTGTCGATAACTTAATTGTCGATGATTTTAAAGTAAAAAGAAGGAAAAGGAATATGACGCTAAGCAAGCTGTGTATTAAATTGAAATGAATAAATAAAATGAAATGAGAGAGAGAATGTCATCATCAACTGATCATTTGACGAATGGAGTGACGATCACTGATTATAAAACATGAATTTTTCGGTGCTCTGCAGTAATAACAGTCCGAATGTTAGACGGAATGATGACGGGACGATATGTTAACTCTTCCCTCCATAAGTGATGTATAAATTACGAATTCTTCCCTTTGAAATCTACCATTTGAGTATATAAAATGTGCTCTCCAGCATTACATGTGCATGATTAATGGGCAGAAGGAGGATCATTACGAGAAAGAGGAATGCTTTTCCATGCGCCTTTTTCCACACTCACACACACACACACATAAACGATGTCCGCATGACTGCACGGAAGCTCCTCGTCGGGGTGCTTTTTGAAGCTGTCTCCCAAAATGGGTAATTTAAATTCCACGCTCTGTGTACTTGACTTTCCCACATCTTGGGAAATACCAAATACTCGTGCGGTCAATTATGTGTACGTTCTCTAGATTTCAGCGCAGCACAAGAACTTCCTTTGCTGGCGCCAGACGAAAAAAAGATGCATGAAATTGAATCACATCAAAGCAGATTTTTTTGCCGAAACTATAGATTTTCCACGTGCAGGCGTTTTTGGTGCTGTTCTAGAGAGAATAATAAATTCTTGTCGGCATTGTTTTGGTGTATACGCAAGTCCTCTCTATGCTGTGAATTTCGTCCTGCGGCGCTTTACAATTCATTTATGGATGCCACTTTCACGGGAATATTGATTCCATTTCACCTGCGAGGTATTTTCCGACGTCTGCGAGGAAAATTTCCCTCTGTCGTTATCATTTCACAAGATACTTGTGTGTCTATTTCCATAATATGATAAACACATGCGTGCAAAGGAATTTGCATCAATTCAGCAGAGAGTTAAAAATTCCCCACCGTTGATTTCAATTGAATTCACAAGTGGCTTTGTCTTCTGGAAATGTAATTCCGCTGCTTTGTACTCCAATAGAGCAATCCAACCGCCTTCTCACTTACCTCAATTCCCTTCCACCTTCGCATAATCGCCGACCAGAGCTCCTGGGCGGAGGATATTTGTGTGATCCGATCCCTGGCAGTCAACTAATCGCAATTCCTGCGATGTGCATCGCAGCTTCACCGCACTTTTATCCGCACTGGAATATGCGGGAATGCCAAATCGCTGCCAATTGAAGACTGACGTGAGTGGCGAAGGCACGAGTTGAGGAAGGATTTGCCACGCGGAAGAGGCGAAATGCAATAAAATGGCAATTAATCTTCATTAAGTGGATTGACGTTGGCGCAATACCACGATTCATACATTTCATTTTTGCTCACTCTTCCTCTTCATGCACAGTGCATGAATGACGAGAATAAGAATCGGATTTTGGCATTTATCTGGCTGGAATTTGCATCACAGCTTATCTGCGATCGCGTAAAAAAATCAAATCCCGCAAAAAAGGACTTTTAGAGCCCAAACATGCAGAGCTAATGAACATTTTAGTAGTTTTCAGCTCAGTGGAAAGGACTTACAAAATTCCATCTTTCATTTCAAAACCATGCATCCACCGCTAGGGGCGCTAAAGACAAACATATTATTTTCGAAAACCTAAAATCGAATTTCTCGAAAACAAGACGGCGCATTTTCTTCAAATTTTAGTATGTTGTAACTGAGGTCTAGATCTTTCCTATTTACTGGCCTATATCTCAGCTGTTTAGCGAACGATTTTGATCATCTTTTCACTGAAAGACGTGTCTTTACGCCTTTTAATACACCACATCCACCATGTGTCTGTGATGTCTTCGCAAACGCCGCCATATTGAATTAACTCTGAATTAATTCTCTGGAAG